TTGGCGCTTCGATGCTTCCTTGTCGAGCTCCTTGACGACCCCCCCTTGTTCCGGACTAGGGTTTCCACTCTCAGGATCCTTTGGTTGCTGCACTCCCTCTGGGGCGCTACTATCACTTGCCCGGAGCCTTTCTTCGGTGGGGGACTCTTTCTTTGCCGGCGATATATGAAAGAAATATGCTGGGGTTCCCTCCCTCAATAGGCGATCCATGTTCCCTCCTTTTTTTCCTCCACCTGACTTTTTGCTTAGCTCCAGGCCAGGAGGAGAATCGGTTCGTGTCCCTACTCTTCCACTTTTGATAGGCCTCCTCTGAATCCTTCGCTGGCTGCGGGGTTACTTTCTCCATGGCGGATTGTCCAGCCTCAAGGATTTCCTCCACCTCTTGTTCCGTGCTTTTGCTCGCAAACGCTAGCCATTTGTTGATCCCCATAAGGATTGGGTTGTCTGGCCCTAGATTTTTGTCTGAGGGGAATAACTCGTGTGGACCTGGTTGTCCCGCCTCGTACTCATTGTCCTTCACTTCTTCTAGTTTCACCCTTGTCCTTGGAGCTTCAAGAGGAGCTTCAGGAGGTTGTTGAGGAGCTTTTGGAGGTTGTTGCGGAGCTTCAGGAGGTTGTTGAGAAGCTTCAGGAGGTGGTTGGAGAGTTCCTTTGTGTATTTCCTCGCTGTTTACCCCCCTTCCTAGCTCCTCAGTACCTCCCTCAGCGCCTGGTTGGACAATTTCCGATGCAAGGGCTGCTGAGATTCGGACGTTTCGGTCCTGGAACATCAGGCAAAGTTCCTTCCAGTCAATTACTGGGTTGTGCGTGCATAGCCACGGCAGTCCTAGCACAATTGGAGCCGTGGGGTGTAATCGAGTTACTAGGAACTCCACCTTGTGAATTGTTCCATCCGCAAAGCTGATCTGGTCAGTGTAGGTCTGAGTTATCAATCCTGCAGAGGTAGGTTGCCCATCGAACAGCTTCAAAGGGATGCTATTTGTTAGGTCAACCAGATTTTTGGGATGTCGCATAGTGACGGTTTTGTCTATGCATTCAGTTGCTCCACTATCCACTAGTGTGGCGTATTCTTTGTCTTCATCGAGGTCGGAGAACGGAAAGCATGTAAGGATGATGAAGGAGTTATAGGATCGGGATGTGAGACAAGCTGGCTGACTCCCCGCGAGTGCAGCTCTTATTGTGGTAGGCGAAGGTGTTGCGGGACTTCGCAGTTCGCCCTGATCTACCTCGAAGCCCCCTTCCCATTTCCCACTTTGTCCAACAGTTCTTGCTCACCTTCCTTTGGTGAGTCTAGGATGTGAACACTCCAGATGTCATCCATTCCCTCCCGTTCCTCCACCACAATCCCGGCGCGAATCCATTCTAAAGGACAAGTTGAATCGTCCTTACAACCTCCCTCTTGGTTGGCTGTTCCTCTTCCTCGAGTTGAATTGGCCTTGGATGCTCTCTCTGAGCTCCCTTGATCCTCCACTGGATGTTCCAATGATTCCGGGTTAGGGCAGTCCTTTGCCCAGTGCTCCTTTCTTCCACAACGCATGCAGATTTCTTGTCTTCGTCTCCTCCACTTCTCCGCTCTTTCCTCGGGAGTCCATTTCCTCCTGGTATCAGTAACTCCTGCCTGGAGTACCGATTCGGTCCATTTTCCTCCGTCCCTGCAGTGGCAGCAGTCTTCCTCATCCCCTCAATCTTTGCTATCGTAGTTTTCCTCATCCCCCCAAGCTGCAGAAGCCCTTTGTCGTCCCTCCTTCCAGTTGGACCTGTTTTGGAACCTCCCTGTCACAGTTGGTTCTGGATTGGAGGTCCAGACATCAGCTGGGTCTCGTTCCCTACACAAGGGGGACTTATAAGGAGCTTCAGGTGCTAGCTCCAACCCGGGGAATCGACTCAGCCATCCTTGCAGTGTTTTTTTTGCTGTGGAGGTTCCTCAAACTCTCCACTTGCGCACGTACAGCTCCATCCAACTTCGTGAACACTCGAGTCCACTTGTCGTAGGATCAATTCCCTTCCGGTAACAACCTGTAGAGGCAACCAGGGAGCTACCCCTTTCTTGAGGTATGTTACCAGGGCCTCATTGTTAAATCTGGTCAGGGGAGCGTATTTGTTGAAGCAAATGAAGAAATTTCGCTTCAGACTCCTTACTCCTCACCAGAAGTTGCTGTATATGCCTCATAGGCGTGTACATGTACACTGTCTGTCCGCTACAGACCCGGACAGGACTATCCTGATCAGGCATTGATTCCACTAGGGCAAGGAGGTGAGCCGTGGTGTATCTCCTGCGTCTACGATTTTTTACAGGGATTGCATTGACATCCTCGTTGCTTTCTTCATTGATTTTAGCTGCCACCTCTGCTAGATTCGCGTTTTGAAGTATTTGGATAGCCTGGTAGTCCTTTCTATAGTGGCTACTTGACTGCTGACTAGTCCACCTGCGTTCAAAGCTGATTCCATGTCTAGCTGCGGTACCGGTCCAGGGGGAGGTCCTCTCGTTCCCCAGGTGGGAGAATAGGTAAAACCTCCCATGGGACTACTGGCAGGTTGGGCATAACCCATGGAGGTATACCTCTGTCATGCCTTGCCTGATTTTGCTTCCTTACCTATCATATTCCTCCTTACTACCTCCCTATATCTCCCCACTGTATACCCAGAGCTCCCCTTGTCCGCTTTTACCATTATGTAATATGCCACATGGCTGTCACATGTATAGTATTTAGGCTGGGGACTCCCCTCGGAGCTCCCCAGCGTGTTATTGTCAAATCTTATCTGGAAACTCTTCCAACCTGGCTTGGTCCCTGTTAGTACAGTCTACTTGTACTTGCTAACAGGGCCTGACACGTCTCACCTGTCATACATTTCCTCTTTATCTGTTTCCCTCAACTCTGTTTCCTTCACCTCTGTTTCACTCAACTCTGTTTCTCTTCTCTGTCTCACCTCTCTGAACACCTCTCTCAACTTCCTGAGCCTCTCCTACGACTTACAGTCTATGTCGAGGCTCCACACCCCCAACCACCTCCATCCTCACCAACTACACCTCCTTCCCCCACTCCAGGACCTTTGGCTAGGTCCACCCAAGCTCCGCAACCACCACTGGTCAGGCTCCCTACACCAGTAGCGGCACTTATCCCACCTCCCCTTGTACGGCCTAGGCAGCTGTCCTGCTTGCTTAGGCCCAGTCCAGATAGGACAAGAGCAGGCCTTTTGTGCCAGGCCTCACAACCTCCATTGTGGTGGTCCCATCCCAGGTTCCACTGGAGGGGGCTCCTGAACTGCAGGTTGACATCCCTTGGGGGTCCTTACGTTACTAGCAGTTTCATCCCCAAACGGCTGTTCTGGGGTGGGCGTCGGGCATTGTCCAGCTGCCGATGTGGTGACAGTGGAGCTAGCAGCCTGGTTTGACTTTTGGGCTTGTATTGTGTTTCCACGAGATAAGGCGCTCTTTTGTTTCTTCAATTTGAGTTTGGAACTAGAAGGTCGTTTCGTTGACGTCACAGACATTTCATCGCGATGAGTCCGTTCAGTGACAGGAGAGCTTGGTATAATGTAAGACCTGGGTCAGAATTGGTCTTAGGGTAGGTGTCGGTATAGTGAGTTTACGTTGTAGCGTGCTAAGAGCAGGCTAGAGCTTGAAGGGAGCTACGGGAACTGCAACCGAGGATAGGAATGACCTAGTAGTGGCTGAGATGGAGAGATGTAACCCTTGAAGGGGTTCCTATAAGGTCCAGGGAGGGAAGGTAGAAGTACGAAACCTAGTAGCGGTGCGTAGTAGGAGTTGTACTCGCTAGAACGTCAATGTAAGATTGAATAGGTCGTAGCTGAAGTGGGTATTGAGTGTGTAAGCTCCTGAGAAGGTATACGCCTGGGAGGGGAGGTCCCGGGAGCTGGGGCTTAGAGGTGGACATCCTCACATGTTGGAGGTTGTAACAGAGAAGTGGTACATAGTTCGACGTAAGGGGTAGCTTTGATGTTACCTAGATCGAGGTCCCAGAGCTTGAGGAGCAGTTGGGGAGGTTAGCTCACCGAGGTGCTTAGGCGTTGGGAAGCTTTAGTATTGTTTGAGGGAGCTGGGAGACTCACTTGGATTGCTTAGACGTGAAGTAAAAGTGTGTATTGGATCGTACAGACGATTGTAGAGACAACAGACGAGAGTAGAGAGAAACTGAGATAGGAGAAACAGAGAGTAAAGAGAAATCCATATGGTTAGCAGGTACAAAGGAACAGGGACTGGACCTATGCAAAAGGGTGTGTGTTCAAAATATACCAAGCTGGGGCTTGGGAACATTGTGAGACTACTTAAATAGGTACGGGAAGTGAACAAGGGAACATTGGAGAATCTGGGGAACATGAGGCGGTAATCGAGATTAATACCTAATGGAGTTGGTGATAGGGAGGTCTTGTATGTGTGTCGGGAAAGCCTTATTCTGGGTGTTTGGATGATGGGGAGGGTTATAGAAAGGAAGAGACGAAGGGGGTAGTGGAAGGTGATATGGGTGCACTTTGTGGAGCTAAGATTTGGAGAGGAATACGGGGTAGGGCATGACAGGATGCCATTCCTTCCATATCTGGAGGTTCATCTTCACATGCAAAGAGGAAAGCTGTGCACCAATGAAAGGGGGGAAGAAGGCCAACAAAAACCCAGATAGAAAAATCAACTAAACGATGATGACATTAGGGACAGTCAAAGTGGATGCTTATGCGTTGGCTTAATTCTGCAGCTGAAAGTTGAAATGAGTGACAAAGAATCTTCAGCGTTGATTTAAGCTAGCAGCAGCTCCCGAGCTGCTGAAACTAAATTTCAGCAACTGAAGTTAGAGCTAGTTAATAAGGTTAAGGTTACAGCACTAATCATTTCGAGTTTTTGACATCGATAAAATCTCCTACAAAATTGTGTAATCTTCTCCATATCATGACTGGAAAAAAGAAAAAGGACAACAACAGTACATCTACCACAAGAGGTACTAGAAGTACCAAGGCAACAGCCACCGAAGCCACAAAAATAGGGATGTTATGAAAAGTACTGGTAACACAAAAACCAGTTCAAGAAAACAAAGGAAGCCAACGAAAGCTGTCAACAACAACATAGATGATGTTGCGGATTCCAGTGATGCAGACAAAGCTAATGGACGAGTCAGGTCAGTTGCAGTTGAATTTTCCTCACTTCAAAGCTTATGTACACCTATACAGTTGGACAGTAGCACTCCAGGAAACACTACTGAAGGAAATTAGTGACAACCCCGAGATAAAACAAGGACTCTTTCCCGGTCCTGGGACTATAGGACGAGATGAAGACGGAAACCGTATCACAAGGTCAAACAACCTCCTGAAATCTGAATACTACTTCATGCTTGCCACTGCTGTATTTGGCAATGAAACCTCAAAATACTATGCCACTTTTGACCTCAAGAGTAAGGAGGCTGCTGGTAGAGATCTCTGGACAAAACGAGTGAAGAACAATATTGAGGGGTATGTAATCTTTTGTTTTTAGAGCCTCAAAGATGACTGACAAGATTGTTTAGTGTGGTGAAGAACTATAAAAAGTGAAAAGAAATCATGGGACAGACTGGAGAAGGTCTTACATCGGAAGACCAGATTGACATGTCCCTGAGCAATTCTTTCACGACGGTATGGAGTAAGTCATCTTTATATTACAGATATATTTGGCTCACTCTAGGTGGACCAGGTAAAGTCAAGAAAAACTTTCCGTACTATTTCATTGTACGTGAAATTGTAGGTGAACGTCCCAACATCACCCCAGTCGGGCTTAGGAGGGCCAAAACTCCCATCGACACATCATTCCTTCATGAAAACACGATCTCTTCTCCAGAATGCTATGGCTCCCCTGTATGGTCTGATGGAGAGGGGAACGATGAGGATGAAGATAAAGAAGAGGATAAGTCCAACAATTCTGATGAAGAGACTCCTGGGAAATCAGAATCTGTTATAGATCTCTGCAAAGTTTGTTTCTCTCTCTCTTTGGCTTGAGGTGTTGAGTATTGAATTAGAGTTCATATTCTCCAGATTCACTGTACACATGCATCACTACCGTGTTCGTCAATTGACGAGTTACCAGTGAAGTCAATTCAACTTGACTCAAACTAATCCTAAGTACTCAAACATTCCATAAACTTCTACGAATTTAGCTAGATATAAAATATGTGTCAGTAGATACAGAATGGCACTCTTGTTCTGACACTTTGCAACTATCATCATCGCGTGAACCGCTTCATTCGTGCTTCCTTAGTATTGACTCGCTCTATTATTGAACGTACACTAGCTCGCATTAACATTGACTCACTCTGTTACTGCAGTAGCTCCGAAATAAGTAAGATTATCTCTTTGACAAACTACTAATGCGTTTTCTAGCTCAGCTACGCATATCAACCTCAACATTACCTTTGACATTCTCAACCTCAATGTTGTTTGGACCGAGCTCTGACAGAATCTGTTCCCGCAAAAAGGAAACGTGGTGATAGCATGGACCAAACAATATCAGGCGAGGTCCTAAGCAGGCAACATCGGAGAAGGCTGTAAAGCCTATGCAGAAATCAACTAATCCTCTTGACCGCTTTGCTGACATCTCGAAGGCTGAAGAAGCTACTTTGCAGAAGAAGATCGATCTGCATCGCAAGAGGAATAAGACAGAGAGGGCACTGGCATTAGAGAAGATACAAGTTTCGGGCCAGACAAAGGTGTCAAAGGTGAAGATAAAGGTTGATTTCGAGCTGGCAAAGCTCCGTATGCAGCAGGAGCATGAGTTTCGAATGAAGTATGGTTATGGAAACCTATCTGAGCCATCAACATTGTCGGCATCGATGTCAAATTATGGTCCTCCTTTGGAACCCTCCACTAGTTTGTACCCCAATACCCCGACTGCTCATGTTGGCCTTGAGCTAAATGGTCTTGATGAATACCATGGCTCGGGTGAATTCAATGATGCCTTTCTAAATAATACTGGTTTTGAAACAAACGATTTCATTTTGTAGGTGTATATCTCTATGTGTAATATCAATGGTGTTGTGCTCTCCTTTCCTGTGAACGTAACAACTGTTCCTTCAGTTGTATCCTACGAGCCCTTCCTTCCCGAAGCCTCCTTGCAGAGAGACATTCACCTCTTTGAGGAACATAGGTGTCAATCGCATCATCAGATTCTGACTGCGACAATCCTTGAATAACAAAGAGATCTTCGGCCACATCCAACTCTTCACTGTTGGCTCTTTCCTCTGCCTCACAGCGCATCGAGAATGAGTGAATGACAATACACAATGAGATCCACAATGTTACAAAACAATGACTATCTGCATTTTTGAGGTTGATTCGAAGGTTCTTCAATGAATGGAAACGGCCCTTCAGGAAACCAATTGCATGTTCTGAACGTATTCGAAGGTTGGATGCACATTTGTTGAAAACGGCATTATCTCTTTCATACCGGTCAGGCTTCTTGTATGGGGAGATCACCCAAGATTGGAGCTATGGTAAAATTGAATTAGTACAGTTCCATAGACGAAAGTAAGGTACTGACAGGGTAGGTGGAATCAGTCCATATCCACTCTCCCTCAGCTAGATACTCCTCATGGTTGCTAGCAAATCGTGTTCCTTCCCATGCTGTAGCATCATGAGTACTGCCTGTATGTCCATAAGAGAAGTCAATGATCTGGAGGTTCGGAAGGTTAATGATCTAACGAAAGGTCAATCTTAAAAAACAAGATCCAAAGCTACATCACTCACCTGATCGTTCAACGAATAGCGAGATTTCCGGTCATAATAGCTCTCACCATACCAATATGGTCGAGCATATAAGGGAATCAGGGTGCCATCGACAAAACACCAACCATTGCGCCATCGCCGACAGGAATGAGCTTGTACCCAATTCTTTGCTTTCTCTATCTCCTCATCTGTTGGCATCCGGACTGCATTGTGGATCAACTCAGGACATAGGAATGCAGTGATTACACGTTTCATGTATACCAAAACAGTACCCTTTCCAATACCTGCCCAATTTGCGACCTTCTGTACACTTGCTGCATTTCCATCATGCCCAAATTGGTATAGCACAACTGCAAGCTGCTCTTCAACTGGAGCTTGCTGAGCAGTTTCAGAGTAATTTTCAAAAATAATATCTTCTTTGATGGCGGAGACAAGATTGTCAAATGTACAAGGTGTGACCCGGAGTTCTTCACGGAAATGGTCTGTGCGACCATTTTTGAGAGTCAGGAGGACATGGTGAAGATAGGATTGTGGAGGTTTCTGGAGGGGCTTCCGGGGTACTTCATATCAGTGAGCATACATGTTCTCAATCTCCTCCCTAATCTGCCTGCCCACTATCAGCTGCTCCAGCTCAATACCTTCACTGTCAGAATCATCAAAATCTGTCTCTGGACTACTGTCAGAGGAGGACCATTCATCATCTGCCATGAGATCGTCTGACTCTTCCGAGAGGTCTGACATGGTGATGCTGGACAGATCACTACTGAAGACCTGACTTTGCAGAGAATCAGAGGAAGTGCTATTTGTACTCGAGTCACTGCCAGAAGAGAGATCTTGAATGCGATGGACAATCCTCCAGAAGGAACTGTTGGTTCTGTAACCTTCTCTTCTGCATTGCTCCAATTGTGGTTTTTTGCACCAAATGCGAAACTTGAGATAAGCTCGCACCAATTGTTTGGCTCTTGCCGGGCGACGAGCACCACTGGGCATTATGGTAGCAGAGTAGAGAGGTGTTTTTTTCGAATTGCGAATTAAGCTACCAAAATAAGCCAGGAGATCAAACGAGGTCGGTCAACACTTAGTTGCTTATTTCTAGGATAAGCAAAATTTTGTTTTCAAATAAGCATGAAATAAGCAGATGTATAAGCATCCACTTTGACTGTCCCTATTATATCTCAGTATTAGACATGTACAGTGCTTTGTGTAGTTCTTTGCTTGCTTGACTCTATCTATTTGTATTTATTTATTTGTTCAATATATTTTTGCCCCAAAACGAAGCCCAACGGCCCCGGTGGTCCTTGAAGAGAGCCTCCTCAAGCCTCGGCCCAAAAATGTATTGGACAAATAACTAGAAATAAACTGCAATAAACACTTGGTAAAAAATCCATACAAGCAAACCATTTTGCAAAGCATTGTCTTAGAGATCGAGTATCCTGTACGACGAGCGAAACAAAACAAAACCTCAGTGTGAAACCAATAAGGTAGTAACAGCTGAGATTTGTACCTGTACAACAAGCTGTTAAGATCATGTACACCGTGTAACCATGCCAAAGCCACAAGGTGTCTAAGTGCGGAAGACGAGTGGGACAGTAGTGAAGTTATTAACAACACCGCTGTTACGCCGTTAGTCCCCGGAGATTGAGAGTATAGGGAGAGGAGCTGAGGAGCAGCCAAGTCGGAGCGGCGGTATCGCCGGTAACGAGGAGCGAACCAGAGGACGTCTAAGTCCTAAGGTTATAGTAGAGAGTACTTCAAGGCGTTGAGCCTGAAGACTTAGAGAAGAGTTAAGTTGGGAAGGGAGATCTAAGTTGATAATTAAACTGAGGAACTACAGTAGCGTACAGGCAGTATTTATATCTACGGAACGGCGCAGCGGTGCGGAGCGCCAGACTAACTACTAGGAGCTATACGAGTAGTACCTGCAGGGTAAAGTAAAAGACAATAAGGAGGGACTAGAACGAAAGGGTATGTGTAGCGAGAAAGAACAATAAGAGTAAGATTACAATAAACGATGGATCTTCGGAGTACCGAGCGGCGGAATGGAGGCCCGAGGCATGGACTTGACACCAGCGAAACAAAACAAAACTAACTAGCTAGTAAGTATCAATGAGTATAAGTACAAATATGGAATACTCACCCTCAGTGTGAAACCAATAAGGTAGTAACAGCTGAGGGTGATGAACGTGTGAAAAAGACTATAAGTAAGATGAATCACGTGAGTCCGGAATGAATCGGCATCAAGAGGGAAACTATCTTCCAACACACCCCCACCAATGAAAGAAGGAAAAATATCAAGGTATGTCAGGAAGTGAGATTAGTCCAAGTGAAAGGGAATGTTTGTAATGTAAATCTGTAGGTAACGACTTTGTGAATATATCGGCAATCATGTCAAGTGAAGAACACCAAATTGTCGTAATCGAATCATCTTCGATATGGGATCGGATAAAATGATAACGGATATCGATATGTTTGGATCGGTTTGATACAGAACGGGAGTTGGCAATGTCAATGGAGGAGCGATTGTCAGATATAAGTGGAAATGGATGAGGAATTGGAAGTTTAATGAGAGATGTAAATACCTGAATCCAAAGAAGTTCTTTGAGAACGTGGGTCAAACCCATATACTCAGCTTCAGTCGATGATAGAGCAATACTCTTTTGTTTTGAAGCGGACCATGCAACTAATCCCCTGAATAAAAAGATTCTGAAGCCTGAGATTGATTTTTGATCTATGGAATTGCTTCCCCAATCTGCGTCAGACAGGGCCATCATATCGGAATCAATTCCAAGGGTTTTGATGAGATCGTTATGGTGTGCACCCCCATATTGCAGTGCCCATGATTGAGTCTTTGCAAGGTATCGGAGTGTTCCTTTCGCCGCAATGAGATGTCATGATGAGGGTTTGGAATTGAATTGCGCCAGCAAAAAAACATTACTGAGTATGCAATGTCCGGTTGTGTGCAGAGGGCTAGAAATAGTAGGCATCCAACGAGGGCTTGATAAATCTTGGTTAGAGATTCGGAATCAACGTCATCATAAACAGAAGTTGTTGAGTCGGGTCCATCGAATTTGTAGCAGAGTGGTAGATCATGTGAGACGCATTCCAGTAGTCCGTATTGTTCCAGTAATTCCGACACGTAGTTCTCCTGGGATAGCCATAACAATCATTGAGAGCGATCACGATAGATTCAAATTCCAAGGAACGTGGAAGTGGGACCTAAATCGATGACCTTGAATTGTAAGTTAATATTTTTGATAAACCATGAGTAGAATTCCAAAGAATTTATTGATACTAAACCGTCATCGACTTAGGGATGAACATCACCAGCGGGTCACCATTTTCTGGCATCGTAATAGATGAATCGGGAGGTATTGTCCATCGTCCAATGAAAACAGCATTATCGCACTCGCAGCGGGAAAATCCAAGGTCTTCCAGTGCATTACACAATATCGAATACCATGCCGCTGATGCTTGGTGAAGGCCATATAGTGCTCTTTGTAAACAATAGACCGCAGATGGTTGATCAGGTATAGGACGTCCTGGAATCTGTTTAACGTAGATTTCTTCTGCCAAAGAAACACCTGTTTAACGTCAAATGAAAAAAGTTCTAAGTTCATCTTTGCGGTCCATGCCATCACTATCTGATGTGATACCATTCGCGTGACAGGAGCGTGAACATTACCATAGTCCTCAGGTTGTTGCGTAAAACCTTGAGCCACAAGTCTCGCCTTTTTCGTTCCTGTCATAAAGTACGCAGCCCCTATCATTTTCCTTTTCTCACCGTCTCGACGCCTTTACTTGTACGATACATCATCCCATCACTGTCAAACCCCCATCGATTACTGATCCATCGATTACTGATCCACCTGACCCATCTTCTCCTTCTATTGGCTTCCGCCACCTTCCTTGTTCCTAAACTGTACAGTATTACATCGTTGTTTCTCGCAGACCGGATTATGTATATATAGCCAACCCTCCACAGCCTGGTCCCTTATCTTGACCTCTCTGTCATTATCTGGGACCAGGTATGTGCTTACTTATTATTACCTATGACTACGATACTCAATATATCTCTGTCATTATCTGGGACCAGCCTGCCGCCGTTCTGCTTAGTCGCTCCGCCTTGTTGCCTTGTCCAGTTGCTCCGCCTCACCGTTCTGCTTAGTCGCTCCGCTTTCCCGCTCCGTTAGTCACTCCGCCTCTGCCGCTTCGTGACAGTTCCATCGAGTTTGAGGTCGTAGACCATCTTGAGTCCAATCAGAAATTTGTCTTTCAGACACCTCTCTGTTGCTTCAAATACACCGAGTTCAAATAAGCCAGTAATTTCCTTTTCTTCTGCTGCAAGCCAGTCCATAGCATCAGGTCATAGTAGCATTTGTCGTCATGTCGAAGGTGGTTTTTTGAGACCAAAGATTGTTGGTTTTTGTCACAAAGTGACGAAGGCGGAGTGACTAAGCAGAACAGGGAAGTGGAGCAACTAAGCAGAGTGATAGAGCGGAGTGACTGAGCGGAGTGACTGAGTAGAGCAATGAAGCAGAGCGACTAAGCGGAGTGCAGGCAACCTGGTCCCAAGATAATGACAGAGATATATTGAGTATTGTAGTCATAGGTAACAATAAGTAAGCACATACCTGGTCCCAAGATAATGACAGAGAGGTCAAGATAAGGGACCAGGCTGTGAGGGGCTGGCTTTATATACATAATCCGATCTGTGAGAAATGACGATGTAATACTATACAGTTTAGGAACAAAGAAGGTGGCGGAAGCTAGTAGAAGGAGAAGGGTAATAGGTGGATCAGTAATCGATGATGGGGGTCAGGTGGATCAGTAATTGATGGGATTTTCACAGTGATGTAATCATACAAGTAAGGGCGTCGAGACAGTGAGAAAAGGAAAATGATAGGGGCTACGTACTTCATGACAGTTTTGAGGTTGTTGTCGATTTGGTTGGAAGAGGATTTAGAGGTTGAGGAATATTGGCGAGTGCTGCAAAGAATATATCCATGTCATTGTCTAGACATGAAAGGTTGTCTTCAGTTATGCGGCACCCTAATGAACAACCCGTAATATCGCTTTCTGTTTGGGTGGTATGGTTCGGCTGTAATCCATCCTGGACTCGTCGTTCTGCAATCAATTTGTCATGTTTTCTAATACCGTCCCTCCATTCCTTTCCCCGTTCAGTGAGTTTAATGGTACGCTGAGTACGAGATCCTTTGGGAGGAACCAGGTTTTGAATAGGCGTCACGACAGTAGTTGAAGAATCAGATGTTGGTTTGGTAGATTTCAAGGGTTTTGGTCCATGTAAACGGCCGAATTGGGATTCGTTGAACACGACCTGGTCCAAAAAATGATCTTTGCCTTGAGTATCTCAAACTCTCCAACTGTCATGCCCTGTCCCTAAAAAGCTCCCCTTGTTACCTCCTAGACATCCCAGAACCGCGTACCAGCTCCTTCCCACCTCCCAAATAACCTCCCATCCCATGACGGAACCCTAGCCAACCTTCCGACCAATGCTAACCTCCATCTGAAGCGACAGCTCCGCGACTCGTGTATGCCGCCGGACAATCCCCTATCAATTTAGCCTCATGGGTTCCGCACTTCACACCATCCCCATTGAATGCTCGTTTACTATAATGGTTCCTTGTCAACTCCTTTCGCCTATATAAGCACCATCGTAGCATAAACGTCCCTAGCTTGGTATATTTTGAACACACACCCTTTTGCATAGGTCCAGTCCCTGTCCCTTTGTACCTGCTAACCATACGGATTTCTCTTTACTCTCTGTTTCATTACCTCTGTTTCTCTCAACTCTTGTCTATCGTCTCTGTGATCGTCTATACGACCCAATACACGCTTTTACTTTACGTCTAAGCAATCCGAGTGAGTTCCCGAGCTCCCTCGAACAATACTAAAGCTCCCCAACGCCTACCGCCTTGGTGAGCTAACCTCCCCAAACCTCCTCGAGCTCCCTAGCTATTCTATAGGCTTCAGGACCTCGATCTAGGTAACGTCGAAGCTACCCCTCACGTCGAACTACGTACTGCTTCTCCGTTACCACCTCCCACACTCGAGGACGTCCATCCTCAAGCCTAGCCCCCAGGGACCTACCCTCCCTGGCACATCCCTTCTCGGGAGCTTACCACCTCGAGACCCATCTATACATACGACCTACTCGATCCTATATTGATGTTCTAGCCAGTACAACTCCTACTACGCAATATAGTACAGTCCCGCACTCTTCCTTAACCTCCCTACGCCTTAGGGACCTCCCTGGACCTCCTAGGAATCCCTCAAGGGTCACCATCCCGTCGTTCCAGCCACTACTAGGTCATTCCCGTCCTCAGTCGCGGTTCCCGTAGCTCCCTTCGAGCTCCAGCCTGCTCCTAGCATGCTACAACATAAACCTCCACATACCAAAACCTACCCTAAGACCTATTTTGACCCAGGTCTTACACCAACCTATTCAATTCTCTTCATATCCAACGAAGATCCCCTCTATCATCTTATCTCCAAATTTCAAACGGATGTCCTCAGAAACCTGAATCCAGCATTGACACCCCCATACTCGCAAATGTGAAAGATTCGGAACTGTTTTATGGACCATTTCGTATGGGGTTTTATTATTTGGAATCATTTTTGTTGGAAGGCGGAAATGAATGTATAGTGCAGTACGAACAGCATCTTCCCAGAATTGTAGGAGTAGTCCGGCATGTACTAACATCGTCATAGCGTCGTTTTCAATTATACTGACCCATCGTTCGGCTTTTCGGTTTTGTTGATGAGAATATGCCACAGTCTTCTGAACCGAAATCCCTTTCTCCTCAAAGTATGAAGTAGCTTCCGAGCCATGGAATTCTTTCGCTCTGTCAAGTCGAATGTTTTTAACTTTATGAGGTGCCATTATATTCTCCCATGTCGAGATTGTGGCCTTTATGATTCGTAATGCTTGATTTTTCTTTGCAAAACAACCTCCAGATAAGGCGCTTGTATAGTCATCGACAATGATATTGAAGTGGGAACTATGATGGTTCGACATTGTCCCTATAGGTCCACATGTATCCGTATGGATGAGTTCTAGTGGTGCTGAAGCTCAATTTCCGTGATATGGGTAAGCGGAACGAGGATGTTTCCCTTTCAAACATGAATCACATATACTGCGCATCTTGGTTCCATTCCATTCATCAAGTCCTGTTGCGTTTTTTCCAGTAAGGAGTTCATTCGTCAGATCCACACCCAGATGTCCAAAACGCTCATGAAATAATGCACTGTTAGGTATTCGGGGAATAAACACCGGCATAGCAAAGTGGATAGGGTCTGAGGATTCCTTATCTGGTAATATAAACCTCCCTCCTAAAACGCAAAGTCGGTTCGTAATGATGGCGATAAAGTATTGGTCTGCTTCTGGGTGAATCTTGACTATGTCAGGTAGAATGGTAAAAGTGAAGCCATGCTCAAGCATTGCGCCTACAGAGATTAATGATACTGGAGCATCTGGAGCATCCGGTGCATACAGGCAGTCGTGCATCTCCAGAATTAATGTATCATTAGTACCCTCAATGTGAGTTTCAAAATAACACGTTCCAGAGGCTTGAGTTGAAAGTATTCCAGAATTAGCTGTTTGGATGGTGGCAGCTCCATTGACATTGTATGTATGGAAAAAGCTTCAGTTGTTGACTATATGATTGGTACAGGCTGAATCCAAGAGTGTATGTTTCTTCTGAACCAATGAGGAGTATGCGAATGATTGATCGTTCATCGAGTATTCATTTGGTAAAGGAGAACTCGGAAAAGTAGACAAGAGTGCAGCAAACGGTTTAAGTCGATGTGCAGGGTAAGTGGAACAAACAGTTGTATTATTGGCTGGCAAAACAGTAGTTACATCAGGTACAGTATCCACATTCTCAATCTTTGAAGTCATTGGCATAGCATGCGAATTAGAAGTTGTAACATAAGCAGTTGGTTTCATATCTGGTTTGGATAAGTTGGGTGTGTCCCGAGGTTTCTGAGAGTCCAGTGGTTTATCATTCGTAGTTGGTCCTGTCTTCTGAACGCAACAGTTGTACAATCCACCCCCAGATTCAGAAAGATCCAGAAGTTCTTGGTTACGGGTATTTTCCAAATGAATAGTGAATTTATCAAAAAGTTTCCTGTTCGGTACAACACCTGGTTCATCGGATTCCTCCTCAAGGACCTGTTTAAGATAAACATAGCGAGGGCCGGATGGTAACTTCGAGATATACTTGGAGATGAGAGTGTCCCAGGGTATGTTGTAGCCATAATTTCTAAGGGTGGTAAGCATCGAACTCCACTTTAGATTGAACTTCTCGATATGCTTATTATTACCTATGACTACGATACTCAATATATCTCTGTTATTATCTGGGACCAGTCCATCTCCGCTCTGCTTAGTCGCTCCGCATTACCGCTCTGCTCAGTCACTCCACTCCATCGTTCTGCTTAGTCGCTCTGCTTCCCTGTTCTGCTTAGTCACCCGCCTTCGTCGCTTTGTAACAGTATGACTGTTCTGGTGGAGGTGGAATGTGAACTGGAAACCATGGTGGAATCGTATGGGTGGTATTAGGCTGACTTTGAGTTATTCCATATGATTCTCGGGGAAATTCCGTCATGACAGGAGGAACGCTCTGATGATCGTTGTGGAAATTTATGGATGGTGAAGAAAGGCGGTCCAGATCGATGAGTTGGTGATGATTCGCAATGGAGAACGGTCAATAACGTGAGGAGAATCCATACAAGATGTGATACGTCCAGAGGCGATGGAGGCTGGTGGAACCAAGACAGGTGATCATATGTAGTTGAAAAAAGGGAAAGGAGGAGGAACATTAGGAGTATAACTTTGAGGAAGGTTATTAAAAGAATTAGGTGGTGCAGGAGGAAGAGGACGAGAAACATTAAAGGTAGTTTGGTTTTGAGTATGTAAATTATCCGCGAAAGTAGGTACATGACGATGCCAATTTTTGGAAATGGATTGAGGAAGAGTCTGAAGAGAAGGAAAAGAAGGGATCGTGGAACTATGGTTTATATGAGAAAGAATAGGTGACAAAGGAAAATTGATCAAATGTCCCGGTCCTGGACCAGTGGATAGACAATCGCGATTGGGAACATGCATATATGCAGGTGAATGGCATATTTGACGGATAGGTGCAGAGACCGGCGTTAGATATTATGCCAATGGAGCGCAATCGCAATGGACAGGATCCGTAAGATCCATCGGAGATCCTGTTTTGTCGGTATACATCCACGGAGGCAAGTATTTGTGTATCGATTGCGTTAAGTGAAAGCGAACACGTCACTCTAAAAATTGAGCTAAAATTGGTTCTATGCATTTGACGTATAGATTCAAGACCTAAAGGAAAGAACCCATAACCTCTTAGAGGTCGAGTATCCTGTACGATGAGTGAAACAAAACAAAACCTCAGTGTGAAACCAATAAGGTAGTAACAGCTGAGATTTGTACCTGTACAACAAGCGAAACAAAACAAAACTAACTAGCTAGTAAGTATCGATGAGTATAGGTACAAATATGAAATACTCACCCTCAGTGTGAAACCAATAAGGTAGTAACAGCTGAGGGTGATGAACGTGTGAAAAAGACTATAGGTAAGATGAATCACGTGAGTTTGGAATGAATCGGCATCAAGAGGGAAACTATCTCCCAACACACTGTATGAGAGGGCATATCTAGTTGGCGCATAAGTATGAATATGTAGTACAAACCAACAATGCAATACATATATATGTAGACAGTAGTATCGACAAGTTATCGCAGACAATTCATGAAGATGTAAATGCAAATGACAAGTTGAAAAGTTTAAAGAGTAAATGATTCAGGTTCTAATCCGAAAGAAACTGCTCCATGGGTCCTCTTGTTAAGCTGGTGCTTTTCCCTTCCTTCGACTAGAACCCGCCTCCTCCTTTCGAGGACTAGATTCTCCTTGCACACTAGCAACAGCCCTCACAATCTTTTTCAGATTGAAATCCTCCACTGGGGGATTCCGCACCTGTTTGCGACAAAGTGGACAGGTGTAGTGGGGTTGTGGGGTAGCCGCACTGAGGAAGTGCATATAGTGATGTTGAGCAAAGCCTAGGTACGCAGTGTATGTATCGGCCCCATAAGGGTGTTGGGGTTGGTTGATACTATAGTCGGGATTTGCAGCCACGTGTTGTGGAATGACAATGAGGGTAGGTCCAGATATCTGAGTGAAGGGATACATTCTCACCTGCAGACAAGATTGGCAGTAAGTGTGCCCACATTCCAGACTAGAATAGAAGAGGATTGATTAATTATTAGAAACAAAAGGTGTGGGGGGAGTGACACACATATAGGGTGTCCACATTTTCATTGTACAAATCTCGCATGTCACACTATCCTCGACATTGGATATTGGCTAGTTGCATTATTATTGGTTGTCTGTTCTGTGAACAAGAAAGATATTGGCATACCATATGATCCTTTGACGATGAGGCGTTCGATGAAGCGGCAAGCAAATGCGTAAGTTTATCTTGCACACTGGTGATCTCTGCCCTTAAAGAATTCGCTTTGTTCTTGTGCAATTTGTTCTCCTGCAGACCGTTGATGACCTCTGCGAATTTGATAAGATTAATTGATGAAACACACCTGCTTCAACTTCTTTACCTCCCGCTCTAACTGAAGCTCGCGAGAGTTCTTCCTTTTTAACGGAAGGGCAGAAGGAGCGAAATGGTCATCGTCCAAATCGAATATCTCGATGACATCCGGATGAGGTACCAGTGGCTTTTTCGGAGGTTTGTTTTTGGAGGTTCACGTGGTGCTGCTAGGACCTGTATTGCTGGGAACTAGTTGGAGGACTTCAACACTGGAATCGCGACGAGATAGTAGAGTAGGTGGCATATTGAGTGTAAAAAAAGTGGCGTCTCAGAAGAGTGCCAGCGCTTGTTTGGTATTCATGTTAGTTTTGGTGGCAGTGCTAATAAGTAGGCGCCTAGTCCAAAATAGGGAACTTGTGACATGTACATTTCGTGTTTGTCACACTCATTCTGTCTTCAATTAAGCCATTCGTTCCATTTCATTTCGCCAGGAATACTGATGGCACCTTCCTCGGATATTGATATCGACCCAGCTTCTGAAGAGGTTCTGCTTACCTTTTATCGTCGACTATATCCTTTCAAGCAACTATTCAAATGGTTGAACCGTGGGCCAGAAAGAGCAGAGAAAGAGTCACGTCTTTTTCTGTATCGAGAGTTCGCCTTCACTCTGCGTAACGACGCTTATCTTCGCTACAATTCGTATTTGAGCGACTTCAAGATGAAGAAGCATGTTTGTCTTCTTACTCCATCGCGTTTTGAGATAGGGCCTGTTTATTCCACTCAGGTGCGTCGTTCAGTTAGTCGATTGTCTTACATTTACTAAGTTTTATTCGCACTCAGCCAAAGGATAAGAAGACCGTTTGTCCCACTCACTTTAGAGCGGAAAAGCGCGAAGTAGTGTTTGATATAGATATGACGGATTATGATCCGATTCGAACATGCTGCTCTGAGGCTAATATCTGCAAACGATGTTGGGGGTTTATTGCCATTGCCGTGGAAGTCCTAGACACAGCTATTCGTGCACAATTTGAATACACTAAACTGCTCTGGGTATACTCTGGTCGACAAGGTATCCATTTATGGATATCGGACAAGGAGGCATTCGAGTTGAACGACGATCAATGGAAGGCCATGGTGGAATACTTGACGGTCATAAAAAATGGGAAGGAACCTGGAAAGAGAGTCAACGTGCGCTTTGGCATGAAAGATCTACCACCTCCATTAAAGTATGTCGTTGCTTCAGCCGTCGTTATTGTGAGATTGATGCTTATTACGCTTAGAGACGCCTGCCAGGCTATTAATCAAACTTTTGATGATCTTATCCTTCAAGACCAAGACTGTTTTGGCTCTCAGGAAGGATACGAAACTCTTTTCTCTCTTATACCTGATGCCAAGTTGGCTTCGCGACTTCGTGAAAAATGGTCACAAAAGCCAAACAGTCCGTCGTATATAAAATGGGACGAGATGAGAACGGAGATATTGGCATTGAGAGACAAGCATGCAAGAGTACGTATATCTTTCGAATCACGATACCACCCGGTTCTTATCCTCGTTTCACCAGCAAAACATGAGATATGCCATGGAAGACATTCTTCTACAATATGCTTATCCTAGACTGGATGCTGAAGTTTCAAAGCATCGTAATCATTTGTTGAAGGCCCCGTTCTGTATACATCCCAAAACCGGACGAATATGTGTTCCTATTGACCCTAATCGGATTAGGGAGTTTGATCCCGCAACAGTGCCCACAGTAGGTCAACTATTGGCCGAGTTGGATACGGCGGGGAACACAGAGATGGTTGACAATTTGATGCTCGTCCTTGTCATATCTTGGTATTGATATTGCCTTACTAGACTGGCAACGGACATCCCTCAAACCCTACATTGACATGTTCGAAGAATATGTGAACAATGTTCAAGAGAAGCAAACCAAGATTGGTAGGTTATATTTTAGTACTCAGCAATTCCTTGTTAATATTCTGTCAGATTTATCTTGGTGATGACAGAAATGAGCACCTATTCACGCATTTCTGAACCTGTTGTACCTGGATTAACTCACTGTACGTCTAATGTATTTGAATATACGTTGTCAATGCTTAGTAGGCAGATCCTCCACAGTTACTGACCGTCTGCATCACAATGATAATTCTCAATTAGATTGGATTGGTGGAGCTGAGATCTTGCAGTCGGAAGAACCAAAAAGCAGTCTATACGAAGTACAAGCTTTTACGAGCTCACTATTTACAATAAAACACAGGCTTTGATCATTTCCAAACCTATAACCCTTCTGCTTACCTACATAACTTTTCGAGATTTGGAGGAGAAATGAATGTGAGAAACAAAGGCAACGAAATGTATGCCCAGAGAAAAAAAGACAGGACTCTAAGATTGATTCAACGATCACGATCATGATGGTGGGCTGAAAGGAAGGACCTAGGACACATTGACTAGCATGTACACTGGAGCAACAGATGTAGCGGGCCTGTGAATGCATTGTAATGAGTATATGACAGTGAATTCTGAACTAGTTACCCCCGTTGGGGACACAAACCTTGCTTGAGGCGTTGCGGGACAATCACATGATCAACATTTAACTGAGCAGTATAGTACAGGCATACATGTAGCAGGCAAACATCTAGACACAGCAGATAATGAGGCAATGTCTGATAAGGTGAAGCAAGTGGCGAGTTCCAGCAACAGATCGTCATTGAGGTCTGTCAATGTGATGTTGTATGAAATGGGGGGTAAAGAAGAGAGCGGGGGATGTGGACGACAATGAGCATATATAATTGGTTGTGGGAAATCAGGAATAGGTGGCAGTTTAAGTAGCAGAAAACAGCACAACTGGCATCAGGGGATAGCGAAGAAAGGACACATCCTGCGGGTGCCACACAAAGTAAGGGGTAACCGCATGCTAAGCTACCCATTGACGAAGATGGAATGGCAGGACTGCGAAACATGGCAGATGCAATAATAGATGAAATGGAGGCAAAAATGTGGAGTGTAACAAAGAAATGCAGCACATAAGTCTGGTGTGTGGGATTAAATCAGACAAAGTCCCCCAGGCTTCATTCCAGCTCAGGAGGTTGAACTACCTTCCTAGAGCCAGCAGATCAATTTCTAGGCCAGTTGATGCCATATACGACCAGTGCCAGTGTGGTGCGCTCACTCCCACAACAATATTTCTCAGCTGTGTGGGATTAAATCAGATGATACTCCCCAGGCTTGATTTCAGCTCAGGAGGGTGAACTACCTTCCTAGAGCCAGCAGATCAATTTCTAGACCATTCGATGCCATATACGACTAGTGCCGGTGTGGTGCGCTCACTCCTACAACAATATTTCTCAGCTGTGTGGGATTAAATCAGATGATATTCCCCAGGCTTGATTTCAGCTCAGGAGGGTGAACTACCTTCCTAGAGCCAGCAGATCAATTGTTAGACCATTCGATGCGGTATACGACTAGTGCCAGTGTGGTGCGCTCAACAATATTTCTCAGCTGTGTGGCATTAAATCAGATGATATTCCCCAGGCTTGATTTCAGCTCAGGAGGGTGAACTACCTTCCCAGAACCAGCAGATCAATTTCTAGACCAGTTGATGCCGTATACGACCAGTGCCAGTGTGGTGTGCTCACTCCCACAACAATATTTCTCAGCTGTGTGGGATTAAATCAGATGATATTCCCCAGGCTTGATTTCAGCTCAGGAGGTCGAACTACCTTCCCAGAGCCAGCAGATCAATTTCGAGACCATTTGATGCGGTATACGACTAGTGCCAGTGTGGTGCGCTCACTCCCACAACAATATTTCTCAGCTTTGTGGCATTAAATCAGATGATATTCCTCAGGCTTAATTTCAGCTCAGGAGGGTGAACTACCTTCCCAGAACCAGCAGATCAATTTCGAGACCATTCGATGCCGTATACAACTAGTGCCCGTGTGATGCGCTCACTCCCACAACAATATTTCTCAGCTGTGTGGGATTAAATCAGATGATATTCCCCAGGCTTGATTTCAGCTCAGGAGGGTGAACTACCTTCCTAGAGCCAGCAGATCAATTTCTAGGCCAGTTGATGCCGTATACGACCAGTGCCAGTGTGGTGCGCTCACTCCCACAACAATATTTCTCAGCTGTGTGGGATTAAATCAGATGATATTCCCCAGGCTTGATTTCAGCTCAGGAGGGTGAACTACCTTCCTAGAGCCAACAGATCAATTGTTAGACCATTCGATGCGGTATACGACCAGTGCCAGTGTGGTGCGCTCACTCCCACAACAATATTTCTCAGCTGTGTGGGATTAATTCAGATGATATTCCCCAGGCTTAATTTCAGCTCAGGAGGGTGAACTACCTTCCCAGAGCCAGCAGATCAATTTCGAGACCATTCGATGCAGTATACGACTAGTGCCAGTGTGGTGCGCTCACTCCTACAACAATATTTCTCAGCTTTGTGGCATTAAATCAGATGATATTCCCCAGGCTTGATTTCAGCTCAGGAGGGTGAACTACCTTCCCAGAGCCAGCAGATCAATTTCGAGACCATTCGATGCGGTATACGACTAGTGCCAGTGTGGTGCGCTCAACAATATTTCTCAGCTGTGTGGCATTAAATCAGATGATATTCCCCAGGCTTGATTTCAGCTCAGGAGGGTGAACTACCTTCCTAGAGCCAGCAGATCAATTTCTAGGCCAGTTGATGCCGTATACGACCAGTGCCAGTGTGGTGCGCTCACTCCCACAACAATATTTCTCAGCTGTGTGGGATTAAATCAGATGATATTCCCCAGGCTTGATTTCAGCTCAGGAGGGTGAACTACCTTCCTAGAGCCAGCAGATCAATTGTTAGACCATTCGATGCGGTATACGACCAGTGCCAGTGTGGTGCGCTCACTCCCACAACAATATTTCTCAGCTGTGTGGGATTAAATCAGATGATATTCCCCAGGCTTAATTTCAGCTCAGGAGGGTGAACTACCTTCCCAGAGCCAGCAGATCAATTTCGAGACCATTCGATGCAGTATACGACTAGTGCCAGTGTGGTGCGCTCACTCCTACAACAATATTTCTCAGCTTTGTGGCATTAAATCAGATGATATTCCCCAGGCTTGATTTCAGCTCAGGAGGGTGAACTACCTTCCCAGAGCCAGCAGATCAATTTCGAGACCATTCGATGCGGTATACGACTAGTGCCAGTGTGGTGCGCTCAACAATATTTCTCAGCTGTGTGGCATTAAATCAGATGATATTCCCCAGGCTTGATTTCAGCTCAGGCGGGTGAACTACCTTCCCAGAGCCAGCAGATCAATTTCGAGACCCTTCGATGCAGTATACAACTAGTGCCAGTGTGGTGCGCTCACTCCCACAACAATATTTCTCAGCTGTGTGGGATTAATTCAGACTATATTCCCCAGGCTTGATTTCAGCTCAGGAGGTCGAACTACCTTCCCAGAGCCAGCAGATCAATTTCTAGGCCAGTTGATGCCGTATACGACCAGTGCCAGTGTGGTGCGCTCACTCCCACAACAATATTTCTCAGCTGTGTGGGATTAAATCAGATGATATTCCCCAGGCTTGATTTCAGCTCAGGAGGGTGAACTACCTTCCTAGAGCCAGCAGATCAATTTCTAGGCCAGTTGATGCCGTATACGACCAGTGCCAGTGTGGTGCGCTCACTCCCACAACAATATTTCTCAGCTGTGTGGGATTAAATCAGATGATATTCCCCAGGCTTGATTTCAGCTCAGGAGGGTGAACTACCTTCCTAGAGCCAGCAGATCAATTGTTAGACCATTCGATGCGGTATACGACCAGTGCCAGTGTGGTGCGCTCACTCCCACAACAATATTTCTCAGCTGTGTGGGATTAATTCAGACTATATTCCCCAGGCTTGATTGCAGCTCAGGAGGGTGAACTACCTTCCCAGAGCCAGCAGATCAATTGTTAGACCATTCGATGCGGTATACGACTAGTGCCAGTGTGGTGCGCTCAACAATATTTCTCAGCTGTGTGGCATTAAATCAGATGATATTCCCCAGGCTTGATTTCAGCTCAGGCGGGTGAACTACCTTCCTAGAGCCAGCAGGTGACATTCTAGACCATTTGATGCAGTATACAACCAGTGCCGGTGTGGTGTGGTTACTTCCACACCAATATTTCTCAGCCTTGTGCCATTACATCAGGAAGTGTTCCCCTGACTTAATTCTGGCCCCGTAGCCTCAACTACCTTCCCAGAGACACTAGGCTGACTACTAAACCATTGAATGCAGCATATGACCAGTGCTAGTGTTGTGTGATTACCTGTTCACTGCACTATACACCCTGTGTTGTTATGGTGTTCTTTTTACCAAATGAATATTTCTCACCTTTCTGCAATCTCATTGAAGAGTATTCTACTCACTCAATTCATGCTTGTTGACCTCACATCCACTCTTGAATGCTCCAGACTCAATTCTGGACCATTCAACATCCATCCATATCTTCACTACTCACACTACCTACTTGTTCATTTTCTGTCAAGGGGCCTAAAATACATCCTCTCACACCCCCAACTGAATTCTCAAGCAAGCAAGCAGTACCTTAACTCAGGCATGTAAACAACTTCCAACACCTCTTGTGTTCTCCCGACCATTGTCCTTACATGTTTCCCGCCCAGTCTCTCCGATCCCTTCCCGGCCAACTTATCCGCTCCCGGACTGTCACCTGATTTCCGATCAAACACTGATCGTGTGCCGTAACCGTCCTGCAGTTTTCTTGTGCCGACTGTCAGTTTGTGTTAAGAAGCAATATTCTTCGCTTCAGGGTCTAGGTAATGCAATTGCATGATCAGCATTTGTGGCGAAAGATATTGCGAAAACTCACGAGATTCGCTGCAGTGAAACCTGCAAATAGAATGAATCCGACGATGTGGTCGGCCCATGCAAATCTAAGCAAGAAATATGGGATGAATGATCATACATCTAGACGAATGCCCACGCACCTGACTTTCGGGATCAAACTCCTCACCACCAGAGCTTTCCAGAGCTTTCACAACAGCGAAAACAGGGCTCTACAAAACAAAATAGAGGTAGAGGTAGAGGTAGAGCTCTAGGTAGAGCTGTGGCTAGAAAGTAGAGCTTGGCCTCCTCACCACAATAGGGATTACTGTTCCCCCAATGGAAGATGCGGTAGCAAACAAGCCCAAGGCGAACCCACATCTCTTCTTCCACCACATTGCCAATATCGCAGTCACGGGCCCGAAAAATGTCCCACAGGCTAACTTTGAGAAACACGAAGTTATAACAGTGTTTGATGAAATTGGCAGAAAAAAAAAAGATGGAATTGAATAACATTCGGATGATCCCCCTCATTTGTATCGTTACCGTCTCTGTTCAGCCCAGGGGGAGACACAGGTTCAGCCCTAAGTCTACCGCAGGATCTTCTTCTCTCCAATCTTCCTATCCTCCATCGTCGAATGCCCCCTGGATGCGACTGAGTCATATAACAGAGAGAACGGAAGGCACGGAGTCCCGCCCTGTTTCCGGTGTTTCCTATGCAACGAGTGTTCCTGTACGATCCAGATCAGCTTTTCTTTCCTCAGGCGCAGGTCGACACAGTCAGTCGTCTACCGATTCGAGCGACTTGCCGCCTCCTGGACGAGCGAACCAGCTCATAGGCTTATTTGAATCTGGTTCTTCTTCAAGATCTCCGTCGCCAACAAAAAACAATTCTTCGCTGAAGAGGTCACAGACACCCGGTAACTTGTTTTATTCGACATTGTTATCGCCGCCGGATAGACCGTTCACTGCCACTGGATCATCTTACACGCCTTCCACGTTCACGAAAACTCAGAGCATGTTTATGCAAAGCACCTTCTCTCCTTCTGCATTCACCACAACCCAAACTGGTACAGGTACAGTTACAGGTATCACCGGAAGTTCCGAACCGACTCAAACTACTCCTACCTCTTCTCTTCGCCGACCAACCAAATCGGAAGGTTCTCCAAGAAGCCCTCTAACGAAGGTTCGAAACATTGTACACCCACACGCAATGATGGCCCAAAAAATTCCAGAGGTGAGGTTGTGAGCGTTTCCCCTACTCCGGATGCTCGTGGACGGAGGGAAGGTCAACCTCCACGGGATTCGGGTGGAGCCGATAACGGGGGGGCTTTTCGAACTTCGCCGGAGAGCGAGCGGAAAGAGAGCTAGTGCTAGATCATTGGGCGGGAGTGAGGGGGAACGAACGAGTAATGGCAGCAACGGAGGTAGTATTGATATAAGCGAACTGGGAAATTTTTTGGGCGGAAACGGGACATAGACAGTCAGTTAATATCTTTTACCCCATTACTGTCTTTCGCCTCATATATTTCCCACAGCCACTTCATCTTGGAACTCTATACTACCTCAATGTTCATGCAGAGCCTCCTTATCGATGGCAGCGATGTCAAGCATTACTTTATTGTCATACACTTCTGTTGTCATGGTTGGCTCCTACTACTCAATCTGTACCTGGCCCATCTACTGGTCGGGCGCCGTTGGGCCGCGCTGTCGTACAATTGGACCTCGTCAACTGTTTTGCGGTTGAGAGCGCTCTTAGCCTAAGTCATCCCCGTGCTAGAGATGACGTTGGAGCAATTGCTGCTAGAGAGCAAGACACTGGAGCTGACACTGGGCTGATGGAGTCCTTGGTACCATTCTGGATGGTTTATGGCGATGGCGTAGAGAGGTTGGTGTGTGATAGTTTAGTACAGCGATTAAGATGGACCGAAAGAATCTGGTAGGTTATCCGATCAGTTATCAACTCCGTCGTTATTCTCATTCTCTTACAGGGAAGCGATAAATGCACCTCCGACACCGTCCCTCTCTCGTGCACCATCCGTTATTTCTTCTTTCACCTCACTCGTACTATCGACCGACGCTCTGGTTCTCCCCCTGGCTCGATCTGGACCATCATATCAATAGATTCGAATTCGAGTGTCTCTTCTACTGCGAGTAGCAGAACCGGGAGTCGTAGTACTGTCTACGTCCCTCCAATGTCTGACATTCCTGATATTCCTGAATTGTCTATGGCGGAAGATGATTTATATGCCTCAGAATTGGACGGCACGCGAGGACATTCATCTTCATCGGGTACTGGACGGTATCATTCCCTTATTTCGTCTCCTTCAGTATCATCGTCTGGAAGCGGAGCACGACTCAGGCCACCAAGATTGATTTCTTCACACCACTCTCGCACCATCGACGACACTGTAATTGATGGCGACGAGTATGTATATCCCGGAGACTCCCGCGCCATTCCTAGTCGTCCAACTAGCACCTGGATGAGTTTACGAAGGAGCGGGAGTATGACGGACCTTGGCAGTGATGCATTACAGAGCAACCGGTCATCCGGCCTAAATGACAAGAGCGACGACCAGTTTTTCACTGCAGGTATCAGTAGCAGTGCACCGCGCAACTCAGTGTATTCATCAGCTGAGTCGTATTCGTCGCACACCGGTACAGGCACAGGGACAAGGACGTTTATTGGGCTGACCAGTAGTGGAATCATAGGAACTGGGACAACTGATACGTATACTAGGACAGGAAGGTGGTCTTCGGGTGATAGTGGTACTGATAGCGGGACAAGAGTCACAGAGTCAACGAGATATACTGGATATACTTGTACCACTGGCACTGGAGTAGGAACATATGCCTCCTATTCTGGAAGTGGCTCTTACACCGGACCTAGTTCGGATTCATATGCAGCGTCTGGTCCAAATTCAGAGAACAGGTCTGCGACTACCGCTGTAACCGGCACCGGCAGAACTTCTACAACTGACGACTACGAGTCCCGAACTGGATACGGATCAGGCTCTCATAGTGGCTTGCCTTGCACAGGGTTAGTATCCGGTCCATATCCACATTATGATTTACAGGCTAATACCAAATCACTTTATAGAACTGGATCAACATACTCACCCTATACAGGAACGACAGGACCGCCTTACACAATGACTGGCTCTTCATACACTGGGTATGCTGTTATGCTGTTTCCTTCCATCCTCTGTTCTCAGCTTTCTAACTGATTCGAAATGCCTAGCACGGGCTCGCCGTATACCTCAACCGCCACTTATTCCTCCCCATATACTCGAAGCAGCACATCTTCATCCTACCCGCCTACATCTCCTTCTCGGAGTGCTCTGAATCGTACGGCTGCGATGAGGAGAAGGACTGGTACCACAAGGAGTTATTCGTCAAGTGGAGGCAGCGGCAGTGGTAGCAACAGTGGGTATCAGCCTTCGGAGGAGAGTAGCGAGAAAGAAAATGATGAAAGTGCAAGCGGGAGCTATACACCGGCTTCAGGTTCTGATAGCCAGACTCCAAGTGGACCTCTCAGTGGGACTAAGTCAAGCGAAACTGGATACGACGTCTGCCCATCGTCTGATCTCTCAGAACTAACGAGTCGAATGACATACACTTCTACGTCGCCGTGGATGTCGGGAAGCACACCAATGCCTTCTGACCCTTCTTCTTCGTCGGACTCAGATAGGGAGTTGAGCAGCAATGGTGAAAACTTTGTCACCGCTTCACAAGGCAGTTCAGATTACCTCACAACTCGTACACCTTCTTCTGAAGCATCGTTCAAGTCTCTTCCTTCTATCGCCTCTGAATATACTACCGCCAGCGAAGGGTCTATCGCATCCAAAACTATCCCTGAACTTATCACGGAACCAACAACGGCATAGTCCGGAAGGTCTGGAAGAACAGGACAAATAGAAGGACAGTCGATGCAGGTACACTGAGAGGCCAAGTCATTATCACTGCAATTCCTCGGTGAAGGACTGCGCGGCGTAAAAGACGGTGTTGAAGTGGATGGAAAGTTAATCTGGAATGGACTCCCCATGTCCTTTTCTTCTTCCAAGAACTTGAAGAAGTCGTGATAGTTCTTAGCTCCTCCACCTATAAAATCCATTGCATATCCGCTGCTAGCATCGAACTTGACGTCCTTGCAACTCTCGAAGAAACCCTGGACGAACCGAGGTCCAAAATAAACTGCAGAAATGTGCCCCAGCGAGCTTGAGACTATTCCAAGTGAAGAAGGGACACCGAAAGCGTACTCAGAACATCTTCCCGAACCCCTAAGAGCATTGAACGTCTCTTCAGCGAGCAACTATTGCCTCTGGAGGTCGACTTCTTGGACGATTCACTGAGGAAGGGTTCTTATGTGTAAAGGTGGGCGCGCGTCGCGGTATCGTGCCAATCGGGATGCTACTGGTGTCGATCAACCCTTCTATGGAGGATTGAAGAGATCCCCCGTCTCTGTCATCCGACTCTTCCTCCTTGTCTACAACGTCTCCTGCATCCTCAATATTTCCACCACTCGCGTCCCCGCTCCCACCTCTGCCTCAGCAACTGGTATCTATAAGTACCGCCGCAGTCTCCTCCCCGCCCCGCTCCATCATCCTCTAGTTAAACTCTGCATCGATCAACGCACGCACCTTGTCACGTCCTACATCTACATATATCTGGGATCATCGAGACTGGGGGGGAGAAAGTCTTGCAATTTTTGGTGCACCGTTCCTATTTCCCCATTATCTTTTCGTCGCGGTCAGTCCTCTGGGGCAGCTCTCTTTCAAGATCCAAGACACCGACTTCTCGAACGAGGTATAGACGGGGGAGTTTGGCGCGAGTACTTTTACGATGAACACACGGCTCAGCTCATCCTGGTGTCTGCCCACAAGACAGGGTCTGACGAATTCCTTCATTGAATTACCTGTGATGCGGTTTGTCAGCGTCTCAAGCGGATTTTCATCGACGAGGCTCACAAGATAGCATCGGACACCGAGTTTCGAGCCTGCTTCCAAAGTTTTCCTAACGTCATCCATTTTTCAGCCCCTATCACCCTCCTATCCGGCTCCTTGATGCCTCGCTCAACGCCTGTAATTCTTGAAGCCATTGGATGTCAACGACGCTGAACCTGTAGATGAAATTCGTCGATATGGTGGGAGACGAAATATATGCTGCAGAGCGAGAGACAGAAACCAAGAATATGGGTCACCTTACCGGGCATAATTTTCATTTCGACTTTGAAGGAAGCTAGGATGTAAAAGATGCTCTCAGATTTCCTATATATACCAGAGGTGGGTACCAATGAGAACGAGGAATCATAGAGGCGTTGGAGAACCGGGACAACTCCTGAGCATAGGTGAATTATTGCTACGCAAGCTTCCGGGCAAGGTATCGATTATCTCTCCGTTCGCGGTTGTTCACGAGGATCCGAGGGAGCTACTCAATTATTACCAAGAGGCAGCTCGAACTGGACGCGACGGATTACCCGCTCCCTGTCACTGCCCATGGACTCGACTACCTTTTCCTCCGCTATAGATCATGTCGGTAGATGAACCTCTTTCTTGAAACCGTTGGGTGTCTACCAATGGCGCTAGCTGCCTTCAATAGAGAAGTTCATTCGTGCATCGTGCACAACCTTCGATGGAGAGCTTTGCTCAAACTGCGAGAAGTTATCCCTCGTACGTGTGTATTCCGTCCGTCTCGTTCTTCCATCTAACTGTACAATAGACAGCTTTCTCTCTCTACCGCTGTCGACGTCCCTCCATTTGACAAGAAACTTGCCCCAGACAATTCTCTTAATCCCACTGAACTCATCCCAGATTCAGTAACCGCCAATGCTGCAGTTCTCAATTCGAATTCGACGCTGGTGAGGAACAACTTAGGGAGTTCAGTAAGATTCTGGAGTCAGTAGTTTTGAACAGGTGTCTCTACTGCTGGGTCAACGGGCAGTTCCATTCGGATGAAACAGAGCATAATCGTTTCTGAGCTTTTCTATTACTTCTGAGAGGCGACAGCAAACGACTCATTTCGAAGAGAGCTATTTCGATTCTGGTATGTTCGAGTGGTCAAGCCAGGCAGTGTCGCGATCCAGGGTCGCGAGCGTATCGAAATAAATTCACTCAAATTTCACATGAAAGTGTCGTTGAATAAATGTAGCGAAACAGATAACATTTTCTTTGTTCACCATGTCTTCCACTCAGACAGAAACTTCCAGCATTCCAATGCCTTCTTCGTCCCCCCTCTACCCACCCTCCAGAACTCACAGTGATCTCCCGAATAAGTTCTATTCCTCTTATCTCATCCTAGCTCGAAATAGTCAACGATACCTTATCTACAAACACATACACACGTTTTCACCGTACTCTACAGCTTTGGGATTGTCCAATTCTGCCTATAAGCTCACGGAGCCGCTCCAAACACATTTGGCGCCACTCATCGTCCGTGGGGACTCTTACGCCAATCTAGCTGTAGATATGGTACAGAAGACGTATCCTAGTGCGTTTACTACAACACAACACCAGAGGATGTGATGGGATATGTTCAGAACAGGCAGAAAGATGTAGGTGAATATGTTAGGGAAAGGCGGGAAAGTGCCGGTGTTATCGCTCACGATATTGATAAGGTTAGTTTTCTCTTTTGGCAGTTGTTTCAGAACCTTATCTCTGTCTGTTTTGCACAGATTTGCTCCGATTGTGGATTATCTAGAGGTCGCCGTTAACCGGATTGACTCTGGTACCCAGGAAAATGGTACCTCAGCCGACAAGGAAGCTCATGTTTCGGAGTATTCACGTGCGCTTGAGCTCTCCGTTCGTCTCAGAGACCAGCTCCAATCTTATGCCAACGAGCAAATGACACAACTTCAGGCTCACTCTGTTCTTGTGTATGTTATTTGATCCTATCGTTTCCTTACATTATTGATTTTCATCACAACGTTTCATAGCCAACGCGCTACGGAGACTGCTCGTAGTCTCAGTAACACGGCTTCATCATCCCTCTCGAATGTCCAAGCTAAATTGCAAGCCGTCTCGGAAAATATGATCGCTGAACTCGGGAAATTTCAATCCCAAGCCGCTTCTCTCTCTGCCTCCCTGCAAGCCTCGGCCTCGAAAACCATAAAAGATCCGACCGCTCAACTCCCTCCGCAGGTTCAACAGAGATATGCAGAACTATCCTCTGTGCTTCAGGCTCAAGCTTCATCAGCCTCTGCTACCTACGCAAAATTGTCGAACCACCTTGCCTCGACAGTGTCCTAGCTACGGAGCGTTATGACAGCGTAGAATGTGTCGATAAGGAGAAGGCGACGAAAGTGACCCATGAGGTTTCGGTAAGGGTTCAGCCGTTGCTGGAAGTGCTTAGTAGGAATGCCCAGCAGGCCATAGGTGCACGCGGTGAATCGCAGTCGCCTACTGTGAATGGTGTGAACGGACACGCCAATTAGGGGTTATTTCTGGATTTTTTATATTTCGTTCTGCTTTTGAGAAACTTATAGACGGTTTTGTGCTTCTTATATATCTAGATAGATTAAGATAGTCTAATCGATTGTTACATATCCAGGTCAGGTTCGGACTCTCCCCACCCCCTTTATAGAATGTAGCTACCCTTTCTCCTATGGCGAAATGCACTGGGAGACATATAGATCAATGTATGACCGTATGAGCTTAATGAGATTGCTCAGAGTCGGGGATTTGCCGTGCAAGCGCGGCACTAGATCCCTGACTATGTGGTCTCAAGCAATAACAGCAACTCTGATTTGTGGGGTAAAGTTATTTCAGAAAGTTCGTCTTTCAATGAGGCGCTTGTAATACCTGATACAGTCGGGGATTGCTGCGCAAACAGCACTAGGGATAGATCATAGGTACGCGACTCTGTCCGAACACGGGTCCCACTAGGAGGAGAGTATGGGAAATGATGTCGGTCCCTCAATACCTCATTTACTACCGACCATACCTCCAGAGTACTACATAAGTAGATTGACTGAAGTCAAATTTGCAACGAAAGCAAAGCAGGATAAAAAATTATGGAAGCCTATACAGTGGGATCTTTGGACATTAATGTCCTCCCCAAGACCACCCAGAATTGACATTCGTCGGCATCCGAAGCACGACCACGTCAATTATTCCTTTGAAGGAAAACCAAGGTACAGGTCAAACCACTCTCGAAGCCATTGGTAGGCAACCCCCGCTACAATGTGGTCCGAAGGACCTCGAACCACGACCGTCCAGTCGCTCCTGCTCCTATGTAGTCCCTACCAGTCGAAACAACTAGTAGGTTTCCAACCACACTCGCAACTTGAGAGTCATCAACCAACGATCATTCTTACTCTCGCAGAGCAGTGAAGGGATGTATGAAACCAGCACAGCTTTACCAAGGTAGATTCATGCAGAGATGTTTCGTGAATCACGCAATTCCTCGTCTTCAAAAAGACGTCCAGTCAACTGCTCTCCAACAAAGAGTCCCTCCCACTTTCACCGTCACTCGTCTTCCTGTACGGGCAAAAACTAGATGCATCACATCTACAACGGAACCAAAGAGGAATGGAGTCTTCCCCAGCGAAGAGGCAACCAAGCTGTGAACCACCGACACACCAGAGTGCTGAACCAAAACTAGGGATTCCAACGAACTATCGGACGACTGACATCTGCCAACTGCACTCGAGGCTGGAAGAACCTCTATTACTACATCCCAAAGGAGTTGTATTTCACAAACGGAGACGGCCGTCCGACAAGTCCACATGAAACCTTTCATTCTAGCAGCAAACTTCTGGGCTTGGTAGAAACACGGAACAAGGTGCACAACATATGCTGGATCATAAGAAGCCATACCCTGGACCGGAGGAAGTAAACGCGTTCGAGAATAAACTAGCGCGACGAAGAACAATCGAAAGGAATGCGACAAGAGCCACAAGCAGGACTTTGCAGTGTGAGACTGAGAAGAATGCAGATCACCTACTCCAGCATGAGCAGAACCCTTGATCAGCACCAAAGCTTGCCGAAGAGTCACTTCCCAACACGAACGATGTTGTCCGAAACCTCGTTGAACGAGGTGGGAACAAGCTATTCGGATCGTGGCGAATAACACCGCAGTCGGCCTTTCTGTCATGAAAAGGACGCGAAGTTGGGGGCGGATAAACCTGCCGAGGTAAACCAGGAACATTGAACAATAGTCGTACTCACAAAGACCGCGCTCAGAAAGTCAATTGCTGGATGTACCACTACATCAAGCTTGTGTGAGAGCTAAACACCCATCAAACAAGCATCGTCATCTGTCAAGTGGTTCCTCCAAGTGTGTTTTTCTGTTCGGGACCCTTCATGTCCATGTCAGCCCAATCCACGTCCTATGATCCCCTGGTAGCTGATCACCAACCGGGTTTCCGATGCGCGCCGGCTTCTGGGACCTCTCCTCCGACCATTTGCTATGACAGGACACAGACTGAGACCAAAGAGAGATTGAAGTGGCCCACGGCAGAGGAAAGATGGTCAAACTGCTGCCGGGGTCTGGACTATGACTCGTTTGACAAAATGTCGAGCAAGCTGAGTCCAGCGAAAGGTCAGGGAGACCTAGACTGCTGATTTCCGGTGCGTGTGCTTGTCTGAGTTCGTGTTACGCCGAGAGGATAGTGTAGAATCAACCAGACGGATTGCCTGGCGCCGAAAACATCCTTGCTGGAGTAAGATGGTCAATTCTAACATCAAAGATGTCTGTGCGAGAGCCACTGAGCCAGGCAAATAAGGTTCGATCCGAGTTCGTAGTGTACGTGACCATGCTCCTCCTCCCATTTGTTATCCGCAAGGTCCCGCGACGCCCTCTAGTGCTCAACACGTGTGTCTAACATGACGCGAGTGCAAGTACAAGTATTTCCCGCATCGTCTTCCCTTTTAAATACCGCTCTCGCATGAAAGAATACCCACCAAAGGCAGCGTTCTGTACGGGGATGAGAGAAGGAGAAAGGGGTCCCGAGACGACACAGGCTAGACTCTGTGCGAGAAGTCGGTGGTAGAAACAACGCGAAATAGAACACATTCTGGAGAGGCGATATAGGATGGTGAAAGGAATTATCGCAGGCAAGTGTTTCGGTGTACTGAGAGAGCCAAATTCGCGCCAGAGCCAAGACAAAGAACGTTCGACGTGAAGACTCCAAGTACACGACCTCTGGAACTGTTACTCTACAGTTAGATTGGCGTACGAACATATTAAAGAGAGAATATAAGGATATGCAGCAGCCCGAAAGAACTTAGGGTTAGATATCACTTCTGGTTACGACGAGAAGTGGGTCGTGGGGCTGAAGGAGAGGAAGAACCAGGGTAGGACAGGTTCAGGGCGACAAAGACGGGTATCTGGAGCGTTAAAGATAGAAAAAAATGGGCTTGGTGAAGGAAATACAGGAATTGAAAGGAGCTAACCGAATCATTGTAGGTCGCTCCAAACTCAACCCCCACCCATGTACTCGCACATCCTTCGGGAAGCCCATCGGTTCCAGCATTTCAGGCCGAAACATACCACTGTTGCCGACCTCGACCCATTTGTTGAGCATGGGATGGAAAGCGAGATTTCGAGCGAAGGCTGTTCCAAGGCAGAAAATTGTTAGAATGAACTTTCGACTGGCCCGGAAATTTCTGACCTCTGTATAAGGATTGTATGCTGGTTTGAAGCGCACTTTTTCTATACCCATTTTTTTGAAAAAGACTCTCATGAAACCTACACGATGTACAATCAATAACTATAAGATACATAGAAGGATTCACCTCACCGATCAAGTCAGCGAGAGTTAGTCCTCTGTCCGCGACGACCCCTTCTACTTGATGGAATTCGGCCAGATGCGTAGCGTCCATCGTTTCATTTCTGAAGACCCGATCGATACTGAATAGCTTTGCAGGTCGAAAACCATCGTCTGCAGAAGTTTCACCAAGGTTAGGAGTAGCCTTTGCGCCATGTGTAAACTCATTTTCGTCTCCTTCGACCTCTTCTCCGCGACAGCGAGCGGCGAGTTTGTACAGCATGAATGTGGAAGATGCGGTGGTGTGCGTTCGCAAAAGAAGTTTACTAGACTCTTCGTGTGACCAAGGCGCACGGTAGCCAGTGGATCCGTAGCCACCATGTTCATGGACAGTGGAAACACGCTTGTAATATGAGGGCTCCGGAGGAAGGGTGAACCTTTGCAGGAGAATGTTGATACCAGCTTTAGGCGCCCGTTGGCTACTTGTAAGCGCTGAAAGACGCTGGACGGTTACACAACTCAAACCTACTTCAAACTTGCCAGGTTCAACAAATGAGTTTTCCAGAGAGCAGTTCCTTTATCCTTGTGAGGGTGTTGCTTTGCCATGCGAATTCATCCGTTGACAATTTCTTCGTATCAGTTTGTCAAAAACTTGCATCCGTTGTATAGACGCTGTTCAAGAATTCATCTCTACCCATATTCATTGTGTCCTTTGTTGTACATTTACCAATATTACAGTAATCACTCGGACCGACGTGCTCAATCTCACCCCCTTACTCTGTGTCGTACAGAGTGAAGATTTCATTTGCTTTCTGGAGGTCATGCACGAATTCGCCTCTACACTAGCAACGAATCATAATTTATGATTAGAACTTCATTCAGAGGCGACGAGCTCGTTGGAGAACCTCTCTACAAACATTTCTGTTCAAGGTGTGCCTCGTTTTTGACAGATTTTTTCTTTGACGTCAATCTGGCAGTAGCTGGTAATGTAGACAATGGGATAATTGTTTCAGAATAACATGATAGTAACACAACCTAAACGATACGCATGGAATGCGAACGCTGACGACCGTCCTACCGAGGTCGAATTGACCTATCAACGCGCTTTTACCATCGGGATTCGTCTTCGTTGTGCTTGCAATTCTCTTAGGGACTAATCTCATAATTCAAGGGGAATTGCTATTGTTACAGAACTCCTGACTCCAACATACAGATACACGTAGAATTCGACAAGAAATGCAGCCGGACAAGCAAATCATCACGGTCTGTTTGGGGTCTGTTGACCTCTGTGGTATGGAGGCTTCGAAAAGTAATGCTTAGTTTTGGCTTCCCCAAAACGATCTGTGCTCGCCCGAATCGAGGACACTAATTTTCCGCCAGCGGCTTGGAGAGGTACTCGTGCACGGCAAATCATCACGTCAGACTCCTGGAGGTCTTTGGACTTCAACGATTTTGGGGTCATTGCTGGATGGAAGTGGGTCGCCTGTTACGAGGTGAATAAGGAAATTTAACAAATGGCGCGACTTACCGTGGTGATTCGTATTTCCGGGCTTGAGGCGGTGGTGAATTGCTGTTGGGATGACATCTTCTTACCCCAATACAAGTGGATCGGATTTGATTCTCAGAAGGGCGGTAATCAATACCGTCCTGAACCGAAGTACCTCTCTTGGGATGATGCCCTTCTTCTGGTTGAAGAATTAAACTTACCTTCTTCTCATGCACCGAAATCCTTATGATAACGGGGAAGGAGAATGGCTTTTCCACAACATGCAGATGATTTGGAGCTTCACAGTTCTCAAGCTCGGGGTATCTTCGCTGCGAAACGCTGGCAGCGATGACATGATTTGCCGGTCACAAGAATCCGAATACCGTAGATTCAAGGAAGATGCAGGCGCCACGAACTTAATATCCCAGGCGGCTTATACTCGCAACTTCCTTCATTTGATCCAAATAAGAACTGGCCCGTGCGTGCGTCAATACAGAAAGAGACCAGACCTGGTCCGTGCGTCAATAGAGAAGGGGGCCAGATCTGGTCCGTGCGTCAATTGTAAGTCCAAGAACCTCAGGATACTTACTTACTTACACAGTTGCCTAAGGAATGACTCGTGCATCAAGAGCGAAGGACAGCTTACGGCCACTTTTAAAGGGCTCGAAATATTGGTGGCATCCTTTGTCCCATGACCACACAATAATCGCTCGTACGGTGGTTTTTACCTTCGATGAATTTCGCGTTTATACTTGGGAGGCGCAAGAATCCACGGCGCACGACTGCAGACGGTAAGGATATTCAATTGTACTCGATCTGTTGCCAGTGGAAACTGAGTTTTGCACCCCTTCCTGTAGGGGAAGGTTTCCTGTGGACGGAGCCCATAACTCCTTTTGAGTTTTCGTCTACTACAACCCCCGCTCCTGCTGGTTCTTCCAATTCTTCATCAAAACCGAGACTTTCTTCCTCAACAATGAAAATTCCTTCTTCAAAAACGGAAATGCCTTCTTCGCAGTCTCGGTCGCCTAAACTCGATCGATCGCCATCGCAATTGAAGAAAAATTCAGAGACTCATATCGGTCGGCCTCCGAATGCATTTATGCTCTTCCGGGCGTGGTTCGTCGCAAGTCAACGGGTTCCTGCAAACGTAGAAAGAGACCCCAGAAAATTGTCGTCGATCATTGGCGTTGTCTGGGAGAATTTACCCCAAGATGAACGACAAACCTGGTACGCTAAAGCAAACATCGCCAAAGAAGAACATAGGCGAAAACATCCGGATTACACTTTCAAACCATCTCCTCCGAGGACCAAAAGGAAGCGGAAGCAGAAAGCTGGAGTAGCCGCTGCAAAGGACGTGACCCGTCGCGATAAAATTGCTGAATTGCTAAGGCAAGGAAAAGAAGGCTTTGAATTAGAAGCAGCGATTCAGGAGTTTGACGAGTCTCACGTTTCCGAGACGAAATTTCGCTTTAACACCCCTACCACCGAAGAAGCATTCGTCCATAGCTCCGCAAAAGATTTCGAAGACGGTGAAGAAATAGAGGCTCCCTCTGCTATCCTCTCTGCATCAACGAGTTGCCCTTCAGGCCTGTCTCATGTAACCTCCTTTGACCATCCGTACGATGGCATATCGCAGTCTTCTGGTGAACCTGATATTTCGACAAGCATGGACTTCATTGCGTCTGAGACTTCTACATCTCTCGTTTCTACGCTGCAAGGCTCATCGTCGTCAGAATGGCTCCAACCACAAGCTGGAATATTGCCCTCGTGGTATGAGAACGTAGAAGCAACCGTTCAGGAGCATAACGAGTCTCACGTTTTGGAGACGAAAATCAACACCCCTACCTCCACAGAAGCATTCCTTCATAGCTCCGTAGACGATGTCGACGACAGAGAAAAGAGAGAGGTTTCCTTTGCTACCCACTCTGCATCAATGAGTTGCTCTTCGGACCTGACTCATGTAACCTCTTTTGACCTTCCGTACGATGGCATATCGCAGTCTTCTAGTGAACCTGATATTTCGACAAGCATGGACCTCATTGCCTCTGAGCCTTCTACATCTCTCGTATCTACGCTACAAGGTTCATCGTTGTCAGAATGGCTCCAACCACAAGCTGGAATATTGCCCTCGTGGTATGAGAACGTAGATTACTTAGAAGCAACCGTTCAGGAGCAAAACGAGTCTCACGTTTTGAATAACGAGTCTCACGTTCTGGATAACGAGTCTCACGTTTTGGAGACGAAAATCAACACCCCTACCTCCAAAGAAGCATTCCTTCATAGCTCCGTAGACGATGTCGACGACAGAGAAAAGAGAGAGGCTTCCTTTGCTACTCACTCTGCATCAATGAGTTGCTCCTCGGACCTGACTCATGTAACCTCTTTTGACCTTCCGTACGATGGCATATCGCAGTCTCCTAGTGAACCTGATATTTCGACAAGCATGGACATCATTGCCTCTGAGCCTTCTACATCTCTCGTATCTACGCTACAAGGTTCATCGTTGTCAGAATGGCTCCAACCACAAGCTGGAGTATTGCCCTCGTGCTATGGCAACGTAGATGTATATACAGCAGAGCGATTTTCTGTATGTCACTCTTCAATCCTTGGGTCCATTGCTTAATCCTTCAACTTTGTAGGACAATGCTATGTTGCCCTATCTCTCTCCACCCGTCTCAACTCCCATGTACTATGTCGAAGACAGTGAAGAGAGAGGCTATAATGGCATATCGCAGTCTTCCGGTGAACCTGATACTTCGACAAGCATGGACTCCATTGCCTCTGAGCCTTCTACCTCTCTCGTATCTACGCTACAAGGTTCATCGTTGTCAGAATGGCTCCAACCACAAGCTGGAGTATTGCCCTCGTGCTATGGCAACGTAGATGTATATACAGCAGAGCGATTTTCTGTATGTCACTCTTCAATCCTTGGGTCCATTGCTTAATCCTTCAACTTTGTAGGACAATGCTATGTTGCCCTATCTCTCTCCCCCTGTCTCAACTCCCCTGTACTATTCTAACCCCCGTGCAGAACTCGAACCGTCCTTGTACGACTCTGGCGTATTCCCAAACAAAGCATCCTGCCCCGGTTCTAGCTCGACGGGCGCTACTTTCCATAACAGTGACTCCTTCCGCGCTGACTATCCCAACAGTCCCGCTGTACCCCAGTATGACCCCAACAGTCTCCTTCAGTATTGGAATTATCCCAAGTTCTCTTTCGTTGGACCCTACGAACAATAAAATATCGGCGAATGATCCGAATCTTCTTCAGTACGGCTCGGCAGAGTTCCCTACTACCGCATCGCATTTTGAGCAACCAGCCTCCTTATCTTGACGTGAAGTTGACCTTTGTTGTATCTCATCGTTTGATTGGGAACCTAGTCTTTCTGCTAGGTTTAGGTGTAATGTATATGACCGCAATCTGTCGCATAGAATAAATGTCGATCTTGAATTCCAGCTTGAAGTTCTACACTAAAACTCATGTCTCTCGAAGGTGGGATTTCAAGAAGGTAGTAGGAAAGGTGACTTCGGATGTACAACCTCAGCAGCGGTTTGCGATAATTCTAAGATCACAGAAAGCCCTACCTGGAGATAATATGGAACCAAGGGAGCAGCATCTTGTTCGCCAGAATCGAAGACTGTACAGAAATCATGAGTAACTATGTTCAGCCTCGAAGTGCAAAATCTTACTGAACACTGGTCCGCCAGGCTCGTAGTACGTCGCGTTTATCCAATAGCGATTTTGAAAAGTAGTGACACCGTCGTCAGTCGAATTTGCGAAATGGTCCAAAGGCATCTAAATAAATCAAATATACCAGATGAATAGGCAAACGACAAAACGACCAACGTCGATAAAAAGTGGTTCCGAGTTGGATCCAGGAAGAGCATCGTTGAGGTTCAGCGGAAGATCGAAAGATTCGATGATGCCCATTCTAGGGCGTGTCCATGCTGATCGGTGAAGCCTTGCAGAGGAGCTGAAAGTGTTCGTTAGCAGCAGCAGGGTATACACTACGCTCAGACGGCTTCAGACGGTTCAAGAAATGCAGTTTCACTTGTGTGCCTTCAACTTCAGGCAAATGTGATTTAAACGGTAGTTGTCAAGATAGTCAGGGAATCTTATTGCATATCAGTCGAGAAGACCACATTTGAAGGCGGTCAACAGATCCTAGCACGTAAGGATATATGATGATATAGAGCATTGAACCGAGCTCTTTCCGTTCAGTTGAAACATTCTTATCGATATACATAGTTTCGAAGGAAGAGGGAGGGAATTCAAAGTTCAAGGGGAGAGCTTTGCGCCCATTGCTAGGCTACATATGTAGAGAGTTCGGGGTAGTAGTCGTTAGCTTGAATTTTTCGAATTCAAAATATATGTACCAACCACCATCTCCTGTTGGATCCCTAATTGTGATCACTGTTCTCCGTCGTATCGTTCCCTTTCAATGTTCTCAGTAGGTTTATTAAGAGTGGAATTTCGTGAGCTGCCATGGCCACTGGTGTACTCGAGCAATTATTCTTCCGAAAACTTCACTCGTGGTGATCTGAACCATTGCAAAACTTCCACCTCGGATTCGGAACAAAGCAAGTCGCCAAAGTAATTTAGCGCCCAACAATTTGAATCTCTTCTGCTACTCCGTAACTCTGAAGTCATGTCAGATGGGCCGGCTACTCATCTGCTATCGTTGAAGGTAATGCGGGTGTCTGTGAGTTTTTGCACATACTTCTTTTCTGAATAAACTTATGAGCTATAGAGGCCCACATTAGCTAGCGCATGGCAGCCATTCTACTCGTCATCCCCCTCATTCTCAGCACATTCCACTTCTTCAATCTTGTCTCTACAAGGAACAAACCCACTTCCCGGCTATCCAAAGACTCTTCGAGATCTAACACAAGCATCGGAGCTCCTGACTTTGCCATTTGGTTCGCTTCAATTAGGAGAAACTTTTTCTAGTTGTCTGTCCGTAAATAATGAGGCAACCACAGAAATAGACTCTGTCGCTTTGAAAGTGGAAATGCAAACAGTTACGTCGAAACTGATCCTGGCGGACATCGGAGGGGACCGATACAAGTCTATCTCCAGGAGACACACTAGAGAACGTCGTCCATCATGAAATCAAAGAATTGGGTCAACATGTTCTTGCATGCACCGTTTCCTATCGGTTCAATCCACAGAGCTCTCGCACTGCGCCTACGTCTGAAGAAACTTCTGATTCCAATATTCTCACGTTCAGGAAGTTCTATAAATTTGTCGTGAGTTTCTGACGCTTTCGCAAGATTTTTCAGTGCATTTGACTCCCTCCACGTTCAGATTACGAATCCTCTCTCTGTCAAGACCAAAGTACACGCTCCCAGATCCCCTTCAGCCCTAATGGTGCCTTCCGAACGTAATAAGGTTTTTCTCGAAGTCCATATTCAAAATCTCACTCTGGAGTCAATTTGGTTTGAGCGGATGCATTTTGAGGCCGCAGAGGGCTGGGATGCACGCGATGCGAATCTAGTCAACGTCAACGGGGAACAACAATCTCTGTACATGGGCTCGACTGCGTTGATGCAACCACAGGACATGCGACAGTACATCTACATTCTCAGCCCGAAATCTATTCACCTCGAACCAGTAGTGTACTCCCCAGGTGCCGTCATCCGTACGGCGAACCAGGGCGTCTTCTCACATCTATGCTGACTCGACGAATACCCCTTGTACCTCAGCCTGTTCAACCTCAACCTGCTTCTGCTCTTCCCCCTTATTTGACAAGACAAAGCACATCTGCAACTCCTCCAGCACGACCTAGGTCACCACAACTCGTTCAATCTCGTCCCAGTTCTCCGACGCCACGATCCAGTTCTCCTGTACCATATAGAGCTCGGGCGTCTTCCGTAGTTTCGGGATTTTCGCAAATTCCTCTATCACCGCAACCGCCCGCTAGCGTCATCCCCACTACGACTATTGAAGCGCATTTGCTCGTAAGAGATATCGCGCACAGTACTATCGCTGTCGGAAAAAAATTTCTAAGTTGCGATTAGCCTCGTTCTATCTTCCCTGCTAGCATCAGATAGGCAACGACAAAAATTACAATTGTCTCTGGTGATACAGCATATAGGGTTTCCTCCGACGTCAGGTTTTGCTGGTTTTACCGTCCCCAAACCCGCACAATTACGGCCGCTGGACTCTTCATCACTGAGCCCTCGTTCTCTATCCTCTTCCCCATCCCCGACCTGCACTACATTCAACTACCCACTTGCCCATCAAAAGCTCCTCGAAGCGTCGCAAGTACGATCGGCAACCAGAGAATCTTCAATAGATGGACCTCTCAAACCTTCCGAGAATATGAAATCTTTACCTCCACCTTATTTCGAAAAGGTGGACGAGTCAAAGAGGCTTAAGATGACTATGGTGACGTTCAGTGGTCCATCAGCCATTGTCTTACCTCCTATTGAGCTGGTACCTTCATCCAAATCCTATACCAGTGAATCGTCGGATTCACAGCCAGGGGTATTGCGCCCAACGTTGAAACATCAGGCAACGCTTGATTTCGAATTGGATTATGTTGCGCTGCGGAGAGGATTTGCGATGGTGGGAGGTCTGAGGTTAGTCGGTGAAAAGTTTGTTGGTGATGATGCGGACAAGGAGGATGACGATGATGGGCAGAGCCTTGTTCCAAAGATCCTGGAGATCAGATCTTTGAAGGAGTGGAATGTTGTTGCTGAGGTGTTGGTATCTTAACTCGTTCTGTTCTATTGAGGCAGTTCATAGAACTCCTCTTGGGAACTCTCGGTCCACTGCAATCTAAATACCTAGGGAATTAATTGTCTTCACCGCCTGCCCGGTGAGTCTATGTCATATTGTAAACTAGAGTAGATGTACTCAACGATGAACTAAGGGAATGCATGTCTAAATAATAACGAGCTTCGATAGATGATCATTCTCTGTTTGCACTCTCCGACTCGTAACATGAAGCCGAAAAGCTCCCACAAAATTCTAAGAGGAACTCAAAGCAAAGCTCTATGTGAAGACCACCAAATAATAGGAAGGTACTACGCTGCATTCGATGAGCTATTCGAAAGGGAACGATCCACGAGAAAAAGTCAAAAATGGTTGATACATACATCGATACAACTTGCAAACAATACCTCCCGTTCTACAACTTTACGACATTCAGACCGGAGAATTTACAAAAAGCTCTTTGACCCTTCTCTTTGCTTCAGCCCGTCCGTCCTGACTGAGACGACCATCGACGCCTGCTTCCGCCAGATCTGCAAAAAGCCAGTTCAATATTCCGGCTAATTGGATGCAGCCCTGCGCCATCAATTTGTGGAGAATATGATTCTCTGCGATGTAACCCCAATATTCGGGCGTGTCCAGCGCGAATAAAGGTAATTTGGGACGTGGGGTGAGGGGGTCAGAATCAGAACCGAAGGCGCGGATGTGGTTGTAAGGTGGTTCGTCTAGAGCTTTCGGCCAGACAAAATCACAATTCATAGCATGAATGGGTTGAGCCCAGAAGTGCGGACAGACAGTGGAATCGTCGGTTGAAGCGGAACTGGAGGCAAATGTTGAGGAAATGTAGCCCCAGTATTGGGTCACATAATCGTAAATAATAGACGGGAGATATTTATATCCCTTCGGAAGGGATGATGGTGGCGGTGCGGCTTTCTCGGAAGGACATACAAGCCATTCCGGAACCTGGTCTTTCCAGTCATGCAGAATGCCTTCCCACATTATTTGACGGATGAACCCATCGTAAATAGCACCTCGTAGATTCCTTTCGAGCGAAGGTATCGGGAGTGGATGATCATATTTTCTCGGTATGTTCCGCAGGGTCTTTGCGATTAACAACCCATCCCATGCCGAATATAGATTAGTCTGTCAACCATCAAAGCGCACCTTGACTGAATTGCCACCTCTATCTCTACCCGTAAGATGGAGTGGCATATGGAGGTCACCGACAAAGTGTATAAGGAATTTGAGAGCCTCCTCGGCCGTATCATCAGAACTAGATCCTTCGACCCAAGCATCTAGTAACGAAATGACATTCATAATCCCGGCAAGGACATTGATGTTCCTACTTCCCGCCCAGCACGTCTCTGAAGGATAGTCATCCTTAGCACCGACATAATGCAACGGCGCTGACCAGCGCATGCGGTATTTGAATCGGTCCGCCCAGGTGGATACGGGCGCAAGACGACATGGAGGCTCATCTGGGTTTGTGGACGTGTAGTTGAGGATATCACAGATGACAGGAAGAACGCTGGGGTGAAGATGAATCTGGGCAATGGTCGCGATGATGTCGTGTCCAGCGGCTCCCCAGCCGAGAACTCTCGGGATAAAGAGGCCAAGTGAGAGCAATCTGAGCTTCATCATGTAAGTTGCAATGAGAGATCAGTACTTAGTACAGCAACCAACCTCTGTACGGCCTACTTATAGTCGAAGGTAGAACAAAGAGGGTTGCCAACGCGCCTGACTATTCCGAAATGAGATATAAGCGCCGCGAAAGGATGTTTCCGGCAGGCACTTGCAATTTTGTTTTTTGTCAAATTGAAACTGGCTCGTCCAATGAGTGCTCTGGTTCAGGCTGCATTGTTCGCTGCTGGCGCCGTAGTGGGTGGAGGCGTTACAGCCGCTGTATTTACCAAAAGACAGGCTCAACGCCCAGTCATTGCTCCGACGGTAGATGGAACTATCGTTCCTCCTGCTGTCGCTACTGTTTCTCCTCCTGTAATCGGCTTGGGAGCAAATCGAAACGCGCAAATAAGCAGCTTGGCTAGTGCCACCTCATTATCTTCATCTGCTGTACTAAAATATGGGAATCCAGGTGAGTGTAAACTACATATGATTGCGTGTCTTCACTGACATCCTTGCACAGGTCCAATTGCCCATCCTATAGTAAGGCATGCCTATGTTGCAGCTTACGATCGCAGACTTAGGCATCCCGCTTGGGTGCGTGTATCTGCTGTCCTGCACTTCATCTTTTCGTTAACCTCTGCTTATAATCGAAGACCGCAGAGCATCTGACATTGGCTTCTTTGGGTAAATCACCCTTGGTTGCGCCTCCGGATGCAACTGGAGATAGGTGAAAGAGTACATTCATAGAAGACGACACTATCCCAGTCCCATTTTGAGCTCGGTTGACAGATTTCCTGAGAAGTGGGTATGACCGTGGACATATGTGCGTCTTCTACATTCGCGTTTGTTCCCTTACCGAAGTCGGTGATTCATTTTAGGGTTCCTGGAACTTTCTTTGCAGTCTTTTGCAGTCTACCACCATCGGTGTACCTTCAACAACACCCCCTCGCCATTTCACAAGCCTCTACGTTGTGTCTCTTCATCTCAGCTATGGAATAAATAACATCCGGACGCTTCTGGGACACAAAGTATCTATTGAGGGTATTGAAAACTCTGCGGCAGTCATGTTTTGAGAACGTACTACGGTAGAGTACTTACCGTCGTCGAAATGTTCACCCGGACTTATTAGCCGCCTTACAACGACGCGTCCACAGGAAGCGTCAGCCGGGTCGGACTCTTCCGGCAGCGAGAAAACTCTGACGATAGTAATCTTGCAGCTAGTCCTTGCTGTCATGCAATCGAGAGGCGATGTTGACCACATTGAGGACAGCTCAATCCAGCGTGTCCTTAGCCTTCTGTCACTTGAATACTAGTTCTCAGTCTATGTTATGTTCTGATGCCTTCCGGTGTGTTTTCAGTGCGTGTTGTGGCAGGACGTGTGCCAATTATTTACTCTCCATGCTCGAATAACGCTGGGTGCTTTCTTTATGCATGGTCCGAGAACAGCATCTGATCATCGATCTCTTTATACATGCAGATGCAGGCTGAAAAGTCTTCGTGCCATCGATCTCCAAGTGTTCACCGCGTTTCCTTTCCGTTCACGAAGAATTGCTTATATTAATGGCTGCTCCGACTCCTCCTTCTATCTGTTCGAACTTTTGGGTGCTGGTGCTCCATTACCCTTCGACAACTAGCGTAACCTGACTTGTTCTGTATTGTGCGTATTCGTGCACCTCTAACGCTCTATCATGCTGAATTCCTCGTGCTGTCTTACAGTATCCGGTTCAAGTAGTGAGCAAGATGGCCATGAAGAGCCGAGTCGCTACTCTTCTTTCTAAAACTAGGTCCTCCAAAGGCAGCGTGAAGCAAGCTACGATAGATGAGCTTCGGACAGAGAAGGAGGAGGTCGAGGTTAAGGTCGCTAAGCTCCAGGACGAATGTAATATATACCAGAAGAACGCGGAGGATGCACGCGCCGCTTGTCGTCACGCCGAAGAAGTTGCCTAACAAGCTAAGGAGATGCAATTGAGGGCGGAAGAAGAGAAGCAGACCGCCATTGAGAAGATGGAGGAGGCGCAACGCATTACTGCTGAGCATGACGAGGAGACCAAGAAACAGATCAGCGCGGCCGAGGTCTCCGCTTCTGCGGCTCGGGAGACTGTCGAACGAGAAAAGCAAGCATTGGAGGCTCAGGGCGCTGCGGAACGAGTTGCGGAAGAAGAAAGGGCCAAATTCGAGAAGGCCGATCAAGCTAGGATTTTAGCCTAACAAGAGCTAGGGGCTAGGTTATCAGAGGTAGTGGATAGGAAGGACGCCGCCGAGGCCGCACGGGACGCTGCCCTCGAGGAGGCAGAGCGTGCTCATGCCTCTTCTGAAGAGGCGGAAGCAGTGGCCAGGGAAGAACGACAGGCTCGAGATATTGCGAACGAAAGATGCCGGGATGCGGAGCTTACCACAGAAACCAAGATTCAGGAGGCTTATACGGCCAATCTACAGAGAGAATATGCTCTCATCCTGCTCGCAGATATGGAGCAAGCAAAGTTGAATGCTGAAGACCGCGCGGTCTCAGAGAAAGTCGCACGAGAGAATGCTGAGGACGAGATGCGTCAAGCAGAGGCCCTGTCTGCTGATCTCGCGGAACAAGTGCGAAAGCTGGGTGAGGAAAAGGAAGGATTGGTAGCCTCTTTGCGTGAGATGGAGTTTTCACTCTCTCGTGCTCAGGACGAGCTCGTCCAAACCCAAATTCGCCTCTCAGATGCAAAGGATAACGCCGAGTTGGGATTGAGAGAATCCGAGCGTCGCGTTGAAGAGTTGACGGTGTTGGTACAGGAGTGGAGGGAACGAGCAGAGGATGCTCGATCCATGAATGAGGACTTTGAGCGTGCACTCGAGAAGAGCAGGGACGCCCAATACGATGCTCAGAAGCAGGCTGAAGATCATCGAAAGGCCAAGGAAAAGGCTGAAGTTGAAAAACGCAGCGCGGAACGTTACTCCCAGAAGCAAGAAGCCCAGGCGAAGAAGGATCGGGAGGCTGCCATCTCGGCCATCGCAGCTAAAGACGAAGCAGAGAGAAATGCCAGCAAAGCTTTGGAGGCATTTGACGAAGCGCAACGCAAGTGGAAGAATGGTGTTCAGCCGCCGACTTCTCCATCGGAGTCTCAAGTGGATGCTCTGAGGAGATCCCGCCAGTTCCGTGAAGGCGTTTTCCACGTCGGGGTAGCCGGTCTCACTGGTACAGGAAAATCTTCCTTGATCAACGCACTTATGGGGTCATCACTGGCACGGCAGAGGCAGTACCAACCGGCACTCAGTCTACCAAGTCAGTGGGAAGATACATCGATGCCAGACGCAATTATCCCCACATTTGGTATGATGTTCCGGGAGCGGGAACGCTTACTGCTCCCAGCTGGAACTACTTCCATGACCAGGGTTTATTCGTGTTCGACGCCATCATGGTTGTCTGGGACAACCGTTTCACTGACGTCGACATCGCAGTGCTGGAGAACTGTGTACGACTGAGGATCCCCGCTTTCATCATCCGTACCAAGTCCGATGTCCATATCACCAATATCGAAGAGCGAATGGGGGACGTTGTCGAAGCTGATCCTACGCTCACCAATAAGGACCGCAAGTCCCGTTTCACCGTCATTCCGTTCTCTGCTCGAGCAGAGTACATATCGGAGACGCGCCAGGGTGTCGAGCTTAGTTTGCACAATGCAAACTTGCCTTCCATGAAAGTCTATCTCGTTTCCAACAAGACAATCACCCAGATCGTACAGGGAGATAAGAATATGAGGAACGTGAGGGTCATCGACGAATTCGATCTCTTGAACGACATTTGAGCATTGAGGAGAGCTACTGGCAGAGGCGGTGGATGATTTCTTCACAAACTGAACTCTCATTTCCGTCCACCGTATATAACATGGGCCAGCAGGACCTGATCCGAACATGCAATGCAGGTAGCAAAGGTATCACTTCCAAAAATCCTGGTCTTTTTCTTTCTGTTCCTGAGAATCCTATGAAGGTAAATCGAAAATGGCCTCTGAAAGTGGTGGACGTTCTGATGTCCGAATACAGTACCAGGTCTCCGTCGAGCCTGGTTCACCTTTTACTGCGAACAAATTCCTCAATTTCCATTCCGATTCCATGTTTGACGGAAGAATCGACATAAGGACTACCTTCCCTCTCAACCTTTCCTCTTCACTGTATGATTCTCCTGAATCAGATACGAATTCCCAACTTGACGACTCGGAGGAAGATATAACTGAAGATGTGAATGAGGACACACAGTGCATCTATATTCCTTCAACGAGTCCTTTCTACCATCCTCCTCCCAAAGCACGCCCATTTGCTTCTTCCTCTTCCAACGTTTCATTTTCCTGCGATGCACTTGCTGAGGATGGATCATTTTCAAAAACAACCAGTGACATCATTCTGCGAGTCTCTGTTTCAGGTTTCTGATGAGTGGAGTGAAGATGAAAAATCGAAAAACGCAGTGTGCCTTCACCAGAAACATGATCAAGATCTGACATTTTCTCCGGTGGAAATCTTTGAAAAGAATCGCTTCGGTCCCGCAAACCCAGTCGCGATATACCTGAAAATATCAGAAATAGCCTCTTTCAAGCCACTTCCGGATGTTCCAAGAGGGATCGAATTCGAGTATGATTATGAGGAATATGAGCAAAGAGGTGGACATGCCAAGTTATCACTACCTTGAAACGATGCTGATGTAAAAATGTCCTTGTATATCACAGGACCCAGTTTGCCCAATCGATGCGGCGCCGCCGTTGGACCGACACTTGGTGGCACCGTTTGAAGATTACGGACGTCGTAGTCTTCGCGCCAGTATCGTTCCGAAGACATCATTTTGCCTTTATTTCGTATTAATCCCTGCATCACTTTCCGAGTTAAACATTTGTACACTGTTATCACCAAGCATAAAGGCATTATTATTATAATTTACTCGTACTGTAATTTATTCAATGGGAAGGCAGTAGGAAGGTAGATATGACTAGGTAGATCGTAGTTCGTCAATCGGCAAATGTCAAAACGCTCCTCACTAGGTCAGAAATCGCCTCTTTGTGACGATTCAGGTTCGACCTAGAAAGGATTGCTTTGATACACACGTGCACATAGGTCACCCAGAGTACGGAAGCTGCTGGTGTGACCATACCGTCGAGACAAGCTGTAAGGTGACGGTCATGATCAAAGCATCATTATGCAAATTGCATCAGGGAATCTAGCATAAACTTTGCAAAATTACCATGATTTTGACTGATTCCTGGAATATTGTGGAAACATTAGAGCAAAGTTAGGGGAAACTTTCCCCAAAAATTCTTCATATTTTATGCATTTCTCTTATAGTTTGTTGATTTTTCTACAATACAACAAAGTAGCACCGGTGAACCACAGACTACAGTGGATTGCTCCGCCTAACTACACGCATTTGATACCAAAGACCAAACTCACATTCATAACATCTCAGGCTCCTGCCAATCTGCAAAACCTGTATTTTCGGCTAAATAGCCGATGTCATGAAGTACGTAGCCCCTATCATTTTCCTCTTCTCACCGTCTCTACGCCCTTATTTGTACAATACATCACTCCATCACTTTCACGTCCCACCATTGTCAAACCCTCATCGATTACTGATCCACCTGACCCCCTTCATCAATTACTGATCCATCAGTTACCCTTCTCCTTCTACCGGCTTCCGCCACCTTCTTTATTCTCAAACTGTACAGTATTACATCATCAGTTCTTGCAGACCGGATTGTGTATATAAAGCCAACCCCCACTACCTGGTCCCTTATCTTGACCTCTCTGTCATTATCTTGGGACCAGGTACGTACTTACTTACTAGTACTTACAACTACAATACTAATATAACTCTGTCATTATCTTGGGACCAGTCCGCTTCTGCTCCATTTAGTCACTCCACATTGACCTCTCTGCTCAGTCGCTCTGCCTCTCTGCTCCGCTTAGTCACTCCGCCATTGCCGCTTTGTGACATTAGGTCAAGATCCATTACTGCACTGACGGCCTACCAGTAAGGTTGTCCTTGCAGGATCCACATACATCATGTCTTCTACACCCGCAGAGATTTCTGATCATACTACTACAACAGACTGCTCCGCTCTCCAACACGCACTTGACCCCAGAGATCAGCACCATGCCCACAATATCGGTGATAGCTGGTACGACTGTGACTCTCAGCCTTGCCCCCCATGCGCTCTCCAATTCAGTCCAGGGCCCAACTACCGTAGAAAATATCACCTTCTTGCCAATTCCCCAACCCCAATTGCCTACCCCTATCATGTCGACCCCTGCCCAGACTACCTCCGCAGATGAGCTCATGACTCAGCTCATCAAACAAGTAGCCAACCTTGCCACAGCCATGGAGGAACACTCATCCTCCAAATTGAGCATGAACAAACCCGAGGTATTCAAGGGTAAAGACAGTAATGAAGCACATTGTTTCAGAGCTCAATTCCAGAACTGGGCATCAGAACAACCTGATCTTGCCAACAGTCAGGTAAAGCTCATCAAGTCAGCTTTGGGCTTCTTCACAGAAGGCACTGGAGACTGGGCAACTCCCCACTTGCTACACTTTAGTACGGAGAATCCTCCTTTTGAAGGCAGTTGGGAGTAGTGATGTGCCGGCTGGGGCCCGGCTCAAAAGCCCCGGCTAAGGCTCATATAGCCCCGGCCAAAGCTCATAAAAATTTTGAGCCGGGCCCTACATGAAAGCCAGGGCCCGGCTGGGTTCCGGCTCAAGCCTGGGCCCCGGCTATGGTAGGCGGAAACTGTGTCCAAAATTTCTTGATGTGTTAGTCTAAAAACACTGCCACAATGGTCTAAAAACACTGCCACAATTATTGCTATGGTACATTATTGTTTCTTAATGCTCCAGCTTTGTGAGAGGGGTGTAACATTAAGAATAATGGTATACATCAATCAAACAGTAGAATTCCAGTACACTGGAATTATCAAAGTGACAAGCACCAAAATCATTACCTGTTGTTTCAACTACTGTCAATTTCAAATGGGATCAAAGTGGTTCTTTCCTTGAGGCTTGTTGACTAAGATTAAGGTGCTGCCACATCATGTCATAGTACAATTTACAATATAACATCTTCCTAATCCTTATTAAGAAGAATTCACTGTGAATACACTGATCTGATTCAAGCTTCAACCTATCTGCAATGACAAATGTCTCAGAATTTAGGTTTATGGCATTGACCAATAATTATTCCTGCAGCTGAGAACGGTGCTAGTGATGCCCATATAGGTAAATATTGAGCATTTATCTATAGGTATATCAGCCATCCAGGTGAGAATTTCAGCACAAAATTTGGGTACTCAGCCCTGGCTCAGAACCCGGCTTGGGGCCTTTGAAAATTCTGAGCCGGGCCCTTAGCTTTCCACAGCCCTAGAGACGGCTCCGGCCTGGCCAGGCTCATAGGGCCCAAGGACTTGGAGCCGGAGCCGGCACATCACTAGTTGGGAGAAGTTTCTTAAAAAATTTGGTCAACAATTTGAATCGATAGACCCAGGTATGGAAGCCCGTAATGCGATCCAATCCCTTAAGCAGGGTAAAGGGCAGACAGTAGCGGGATTTGCTCAGAAATTCCAGGACATCAGAAGTCGGACTGAGATGTCTGACATCGATTTAAGGGAGGTTTTTACTCTGCCCTACTTCCAGAGATATGACAGAATCTGATCACGGTAAACATTGGCCAAGGAGTTGCTCGGACCCTAAAGGAGGCCATCACACGGGCTGTATCAGTTGACGTCTACTTACATGACCCCACTCTGACTGGTCGAAACGCCGGACCTACCCGCTCCTATGTGACCCCTGCTGACCCCCATGCCATGGATATTGATGCCACCCACACCAGTAATGGGAATACAAAGGAGGCTTTCCTGGCCCACATGCGAGGACGATGCTTCGGCTGTGGTACCCAAGGTCATGTCAAACAGAATTGTCCACACCGAGAAACCACCTGCCATTACTGTGGACATCGAGGACACCTGGAAGCAGTCTGCCAGGACAAGTTTATGGGACTCGGACAAGACCGAGGCCGACGCCAACAGATATCAGCTACTGGATCCATGCCATTCTCCCTGTTTCCAAATGAATCAGTCCAGATTGCGGCCTCAACCCCACCATTTGCTCCGACTACTGTACCTGCTACTCGGAGCCCCCCTAACCAGGACTTCTCCAACCAGATTGGTCAAATAAGGGAATTGCTCGATCGTGCTAACACTATGTCCTCCTCGTCCTCTGGCTTACAGCAGGGTTTTTAAAGAGGGTACCCACTTCAGCTGCACCAAAAGTACCCCGTGATCAGTTTTCTATGTTTGTTACTTCTTTGTATGACTCGCACCCATCATGTACAATATCGTCAATCTGGGAATTAAGCTCCACTTCCCCACATTTCTGAATTCATGCGAGACTAAGAGGAAAGAACCATAGTATAACAACTGCAGCCATGGTACAGTGCCAACAGGCACTTCTCATCACCCGATCAACTGTAAAAAGTACAAATTCTTAGAATTTTTTCAGAGCTTGTAGTTAACATCGGAATATAGCCAAATTATGCTCATTTGACTTGTAGAAGATCTATATACCTGGCTTGTGCTTTGCTAAGCCTATGGTCAACTTTTATTTTTACCCCCACTGACCGAAAATGAACCAGCTTAGTCATCGCCTAATTAGGAAGGTGCCTTCCATATATGGAAGGTACACGTGGTCACTACATCGAAAGGACACGGGGTTCCAGCTTGATTGTCACAGGTATATGGCGATGGCTGGTATATTTCTTGACAGCATGTTCAGCCTGTTTGATATTGAGCCCATGTCTGAGTAGACAGTAGAAATTAGAGCATGTAGGAATACTTCCAAAGGAAAGTTTGCATACTTGTATGCATCCATGCATCAATAACCATATTGTAAGTAACAGCAGATAGTGTTTATGGAAATTTGAAGTATCAGGAGTAGTGGGTGATGCATCATACACTCCAATACTTTTGATTTTTTCTGGGGCGAGAAAGTGAACACCGTGGGAAAACATTGCCAAATGCGGAACATATTTCTTTCTCGACGTGAATAGCATTCTTTTGGTTAGTTTCATTCCAAAACTATTTTTATTATGATTTTAACTATTTTTTTCGGCTCAAACTTGACCTGTTGGAGAAGTGCCTGTTGGCACTGTAGACTGTGGAGCTACCACCCTGTTTCTAAACCAAGACTTCGCCACCCGGAACCGTGTAAGATGTGCACCCCTTCACAAACCAATTGACATTTTTAATATCAATGGAACACCTAACCGAGCCGGATGGATCACCCATTTTGCACACCTAGCACTCACAGTGGACAATCAGGAGCGATGGATGGACTTCTTGATCACCAACCTAGGAGGTGAAGACCTTATCCTTGGACTTCCCTGGTTACAAAA